ACATGCCGATCCACAGACACAGGGTGACATGTTGGGGGAATGAATGAATGCATGAATGAGGGGACCCTGGAGAAAGGGACAAAGCTGATATGGTGAAAGAGATTAACACAAGCCAGGCGGCGCAGTGGCTCCCACCTGTGATCCCAGCATTTTAGGAGGCTGAGGTGGGTGGATCTCTTGAGCCCAGAGTTCAAGACCAGGCTGGGCAACAAGGTAAGACCCCGTTTCTATAAAAAAAAAAAAAAAAAATAGCCAGGCGTGGTTGTGCACACCTGTAGTCCCAGCTACTCAGGATGCCGAGGTGGAAGGATCACTTGAGCCCAGGAGGTCAGGGCTGCAGTGAGCCGTTATTTTGCCACTGCATTCCAGCCTGGGAGACAGAGCAATACCCTTCGTCAAAACAAAAAAGCCAGAGAGATGAACAGAGAGATGGAGAGGGAGGATGCGGCACGCGCACACACACACACACGCATGCACACACGCATCGTCTTGCTTTGATGCACTCACACAAGGGCAAACTGCAGGGGCAAAATGAAGAAGAAAGACGCAGAGGGTAGAAGGTGTGGGCCATACACAGCCTGCCCAGCACGCATTCACCCAGGCCTGGCAAGAGGAGGCGCTCAGCAAATCTACAGCCCATGCACCATACTTTTGTCACCCCAAGAAAATGTTTAAATTTCTTTTAAAATCAGAAGAAAAATGAACTTTTAACTCCATGTTTCAGTATGTCCTATTAATATATTCGTGTTGATACCAATGCTATTGTAACACGTATTTTTTTTTTCCTAAGGAAAGGACAAAGGTACCTAGCCCCACAAAAGTCCAAATGGGACTCCAGTTGGGTGCCCAGCCTGCGAAAAGGCCAAGGCCAGGACAGATCTCACTGTAGGGAGTATCAGAGACAAGGGAACCCAGAAAAAGGGGTTATCAGGAGGGCTTCCCAGAAAGGTGGGATTTGCAGGCTGAAGAAAGGAAAGCTGTCAGGCAGGGGCACTGTGAAGAATGCCTGCATGGTGAGGATCAGGGTGCCACAGGTCAGCCAGAGCCAGACCAGAACGGCAGGGGAGGGAGACGCCGGGTTCTTAGCGGGGCCAGAAGTGGGAAGAGGGCATGAAAGCCCACAGCAGAGCGTGAGTGAGAGACGGCTGCACCAACCAGGGCAGGTGGTTTTGTGCAAGAGGTCCCCCTGCAGAGAGGGTGGGAGTGGACAGGTGAGTTGAGTTTTCAAATGTTGCAGGTGAGATGTCCAGAGGATGGTTGCCAGGGAAACTGTCCAGGAGGCAAGCCTTGAGGCTGAGGCTGGACCAGGATGGGGAATGAGGAGAATAACCACCTCCCCTCCCCGCCCAAGAGGCCAAGTCCAGGAGCCTCGGGGACAGGGGAAGTGAGTTGAGCAAGAGATTCATGCACAGACACACGTGTACACAGGTGCACACACTGACACGGTGGCAAGAACAGGAGGGAGGGAGAAGGGGAGGTAGACAGACCCATGGGCATGGAGATCTGGACACGTGGACACACGCACGCATGCACACACACTCTGGGGGTGGAACAATCAAAGAAAGACATGAGCATTTAATGAGACCACAGCAAGAGGCAGGCGGGAAGCAGAGGCTGACGCACAGACCGACAGATGGACACAGCCCCAGGATCCCAGGATACACGCTCCAAGGGCTGGGTGGGAAGAGCCCCAGAAAGGGGAGGGATGCGGGCAGTGAGACTCGGGATGGACCTCACAGATGACGGGCAGATGGACAAAAAGCTCCTCTCCTTGCCATTCCCTCCCCGCCCTCAACTCCAGCCCCTCTGTCTCCATCCACTTTTCCTGTCTGTCCTGTCTGTATCTCTGAATCTCTGCCAGTCTCTTTTTCTCCCTATGAACCGCAGCGTTTTAAAGCCCCCGAGAGAAAAATGGAAAAGGAAGACAGAGATGACAGAAAATGCAGACAAGAGACTTCGTGCATGTGTGTGTGGGTGTGGGTGAGTATGCGCGTGTGTATGTGTGTGTCTGTGCATGCGTGCATCCAGCATGAAGTCTGGTCTGGAGAATGTAAGTAGGGAGGGAGGAAGAGAGGGGACAAGAGAAGCAGAGGATGAACAAAGAGACTTTTGAAGCTCATGGGACAAAGCCTGGGAGGCAACAGGAGCAAGGACACGCATATGTTGCACACCCCTCCACACACCACACATACACCGTGCATACACCCTGGAGACAGGCCCCAGCCTCCAGGAGAGAGGGATGGAGCAGGGGCTGTGAAATACGCTTGGCTGGTTTGTGTTTTCCTGTATCTTTCCTTCTTTGCCAGAAAAAATATATTTTTTTCTTTTTTCTTTTTCTTTTTTTTGTCATGGGGAAACATTTTATTTTTCTCAAAAAAGAAAAAGTGTATGCAGAATTAAGAGTAAACCCAACAGAAACCAGAAAGGGAAGGCTGCGGGGATGGAGCCCTGGGGTCTCACATCCCCTGGAGAGAGCTGGACACTGCACAGGGCTGAGGCAGAGCGGATGGCATCTCTCGCTCCTGCACCCGTGTGTCTGTCTTCCTTATATACCAAGTCCAGCAAAAGCCAACTGGACGCAGGCCCAGAATGAGGAAGTCCCAGCCAGAGAAGGAGCCAGAGACAGGACGGGGAGAGACAGAGTGACCTTCCTGCCTGAGCAGACATTACCCATGTGGCCTGGCCTAGACTCACCAGGGAAAACTTCACCCAGTCCCTCAAGCTCATGTTCTAGCGGGTGGGCTGACAACCTCTGCAGATTCCAAGGCAGCAGGAAGAGCTCCTGGGGTCAGTCTGTGGCCTTGGAGATGTGCTTTTCAGGACCAATAGGAGTTTGCCGTGTTGCAGAGAGGAAAGAAAGGGCATTCCCAGTGGGAGAAACAGCCTGGGCAAAGGTATGGAGAGGTGGGAGGGCCTCGGAAGAGTCGGATGTGGCGAGGTGGATGGGGAGAAAAATCTGAGAGGCAGAAAAAGAGGGTAAGGACTAGAGAAACACAGACAGCATCCAGGCAGAGGAAAAGAGGCAGAAATTAGCAACAGTGAGACAGAGAGACACATAAAGAAAAGGAAAATCAGCTGGGCACAATGGCTTACACCTGTAATCCCACACTACGGGAGGCCAAAGGGGGCAGATCACTTGAGCCCAGGAGTTTAAGACCAGTCTGGGCAACATAGTAAGACCCCATCTCTGCAAAAAATAAAAATAAAAAATTTAGCCAGGAAATAGGGGCACACACCTGTGGTCCCAGCTACTCAGGAGGCTGAGGCAGGAGAATCGCTTGAGTCCAGGAAGTGGAGGTTGCAGTGAGCCAAGATCACGCCACTGCCCTCCAGGCTGGGGTTCAGAGTGAGACTCTGTCTCAAAAAAAGGAAGGAGGAAAGGGAGGGAAAAGGGAAAGAGAAAAAAAGAAGGCAGGATGTGGGATTTTAAAAACCTACATATTAGGTACAATATACACTACTTGGGTGACAAGTGCACTACAAAATTCACCCCTACGTAATTTACCCATGTAACTAAAAACCACTTGTAACCCCAAAAGCTACTGAAAATTTTTTAAATTAAAAAAGAAGAAAGAAACAGGAAATTGATGTAAGGCCAGAAAGGCCTGGAGAGGCACAGATAGACCAGAGAGAGGAACAGAGAGAAAAGGCTCAGATTGACAAGTCAAGAGGAGAGAGGCCGAGCAGCGGCGGGTCCTGCCAGTCCCGGCGCGCGGGGTTGGGGCTGGACCCTGCCGTCGCGCCGCGGCGCGCATGCGCACTCCTGACTGCCGCAGCTGCGCTGGCGAGCGCTTTGTCCCCGGCGTGCTGGCACGTGGCCCTGCGCCCCCGGACACACGTGGGTCCCGCCGGCAGTGGCCAGCGCCGGGGGTTCGAGCCCAAGCTCTCACGGGTCCACACGGACACACATGCTGCCCCCATCCACATGCATGAGAACCCAGCTGCTCACCTCGGTGCCCACACCCCAGGAGCCCACAGGCCCATGAACCCCCTGGATCTGTGTTCACACAGTACACACACATTCTGCACACACAGCCAGAGCAAGCAGATCCGCTCACCTCATCCCCAATTAATGCCCAAGCACACACATCTGGGACACTTCCCCAAGACCCCAGGCTTACAGACCACCTAGACAGGTGCTCACACACAAATATCCAAACACCACGTCTGTGACGAGCTCACACACATACCCCTGTGAACACAAAGGCACACGCATCCAGGCACTCCCACCAGCAGAGAACACCTGCCACAACATCACACCCCCCACACCTCTACTCCCGAGACACACACACACCTACACACACATCCCTTGCAATCTCCAGATGCCACCCTGACCCTGACACCGTGATGTGTTTGGCTTGTGAAAATGATACTGAACAGAAAAAATGTCCAGTTTTAGAAATTTGTTTTTAATTAAGCAATGCTGTGGCCAGAGGTGACTCCGGTGCAGAGGTGAGTGATCTGGTATATATTTGTGTAAAATAATGTGTTTGTATGGACGGTTGCAAATCAACCTTCAAGGTTGTGCGCTTTGGTGGTGGGGAAGGAGGGGGGAGGGGAAGGGTCTTTGGATTTTTCTTCAGTGTTTTCAGGACTTTTGTGGATTGATCCAGCACCCCTGCCCCGCACTCTTAGGAAACACACAAACAGCAGACACAGTGATATCCTCGTGGTGTATATGTGATCTCCTCTACGCAGGCCTGGCAGCCCCACCCACTCCCCAGTGTTAACTGCTACCATCCACCACCGGCATTTGAATCCTGAACAATCTGCCTTGTCCTTCTCCCAGGTGCGCGCCCCCAAAACACAGGTGCAGATGTGCACAAACAGCCACATTCTGCAGCAGCCACCTCCAATCTGATCATGTCACTCCACCTAAGCCTGAAGCCCTCCAGCTACTATTGCTGCCCAAAGGCCCCTCAAGGGGCAGTTTGTTCTTACATCCCACCCCCTCTCGCTCTCCAGCACACAGTAGATGCTCAATAAACTGTTGATCAAACTCTGAGGTCTGTTTGTGTTTAATCAGACAATATGCAAAGTATTTACAACGAATTCTGGATCCTCCCACCCCCCCAAGCCTAGGCCTTAGAATTTGGGGCCCCCCAGGCCTCTGCATAGTCATCTGAAATCTACAAAACACTTAAAAAAAAAAAAGACAGTATTAAGACACCTTACACAAAGGGCCCTGGGCAGTTGGAGAGGGATCTGAGAGCTCGATGGGGTGAGTAAGCCCAGATTTGACTGGAATGGATGGGAGAAGACTTGGGTAATAAACATGTATGAAAGAAAAAGTTGAAATTTCATAGGCAGGCACTGCTTGGCCTCCTTCCCCACTGGCAGGGCCTGGCTGGCTCAAGAACCCCTGGCAGTGGGAACATTATTGCTATGATGGGGGGGGCCATGGTGAAATGTACAATGTCTGGGGGATGGAGCAGGGGGGTGTTTTTACACATTAAATACGGACATACATGGAGACACGCACGCATGCACACACATACACACACACAGGGACCCTTGGCAAGATGCCACACACTGTCAACTGCCCCTTTACAGGTGGGCATACTGAGGCCCTGGGAGAAGCCACCACATACCCTAAGGCTGAACAGAGAGAGCCCCATCTTCTGATGTCTGGGCTGGGCTCACCATGGATGTCCTGCCACAGGGTCTGCACTGGAGCTGAGCAGTTGCAGAGGCCGTGGCCACATGTGCGGCAGACACTGCAGCTCAGAAAGAAAGCAGGGGCCACCCAAGGTCACACAGCCAGTCCTCGTGCATGACAGTGGGTAACACATCCTCTTTCACCCCTGCCACGCACACCTCTCCCTACTCATGAGTTAAAGGGTGCCAACTTGGGGAGAAGAACAGGGCCAGGAGTTGAAATGCCACAGGACGAAGTGGGGGAAGGAGGCCAGGACCAGGGCCTCAAGGACTCTTGGCTCTTCTATTTCTGCTTGATTGCCTCCAGGGCCCAGGGGCTCACTCCCTTTTGTGGCCAGCTGGCTCTGAAGGTTAAAAATCACCCACAAGCTGATTGAAGCCTCTCTCTCCACACCTGCACCTTTCACCCTGACTCCCAGCTCAGACCCACATCTGCCTCCATGCTGTTCCCCAACAGCCCGGCCGAGCAGGCAGCGGCAGTGCGATTCTGCCATCTCGAACGCATCCTCAGATCCCTTGTCCCCTGGGTTGTCCCAGTCTTTTCGTGATGCCTCCCACGAACTGTTGGTTCCTGAGGAAGACAGAGGGAGCACCGGTTCCAAGCCGCCTCCACTCTGAACTGCTCTGTGGCCTTGGACACGTCACATCCCCTCTCTCGACTGTCTCCCCATCAGTGAAATGGGGGCAAGGAAGTGATGATCTCCAAAGGTGCCTCAGGTCTAAGGAGGCAGGGTTTGAGGGGTACTCATCCTACTGCCCAGCCTGGGAGCAGCGGCAGAGGATCCATCTCGGCTGCCTCTGCCTACAGGTGTTTCCAGAATGGATGGCAAGGGGCAGGATGGTGAGCAGGCGGGGCCAGGGGCCCATCGCTCCTCTTTGGAAAGGCTCTTTGGCCAGCTCTCGAGACAGATTGGGGGTGGCACGGAAGTGGGCAAGGAGTTCAGTGAGTGGAGTAGGCTGAGGCTGGAAAAGGCCATCCTCAGGCCCGGCCCCAGCCCTTCTCCCGGTTCCTCCTCCAGAGACCCACAGAGCTCCAGGAGGGAGTGCAAGGAGGGGCGTGTGGCTAGAGTGGGCGCTGGACAGTCACTGTGCTGGTCTCACACGCCTGCCGCCCTCTCAGGCCACCCTAGGTCCGGAAGCCCCTTCCATGCCGCCAAAGAGGGAGGGGCCTCGAGCCTGGCAATTCAGCCCCACAGAGAGAGGACCAACAGCAGGCAGGCAGAGCAGGGCGAGCCCCAAGACAGGGGCCACCCAGCCCAGGATCCAAGCCGAGAAGCCAGTCTGGGCCCGCCCGTGCCTAGAGGTTCTCTCCAGGCTGGTACTGGGGCTCAGTGGACGTGAAGTAGTCCTCCAGAAAGGCCTGCAGGTACTCGAAAGTGGGCCGCTCCTCAGGCTCTTTCCGCCAGCACTGGCACATGAGGTCGTGCAGGGACTCAGGACACTCGGGCGGGCAGGGCATCCGGTAGCCCCGCTCCACCTGGTCCAGCACCTCTCGGTTCACCATCCCTGTGGGCAGAGTGAGGCATGGGAAGCCTGGCTCCAGTAAGGAAAGTGGGGTGCGGGAAGCTGATGGGGAGGATGGTGAGGGCTTCCTGCCTAGGCCAGGTTGGGTGCAACCATGGGTAGGTCCCGTCCCCGAAGCTGAGAGCATGGACCATCAGGAGAGCCTAAGATCAGGTGCTCAACTTCTTTGTTGTATGGATGGGGAAACAGGCCCAGCAGGAGTCAGGTCTTACCCAAGGCCACCAGGGCAAGGGCTCAGGGACTAGAGACGGGCCGGGAGGACCTTCTTACCAGGGTAGGGCACCCGCCCCTTTGTGGTGAGCTCCGTCAGCAGGATCCCGAAGGACCACACATCCGACTTGATGGTGAACCGGCCATAGAGGGCAGCTTCCGGAGCCGTCCACTTGATGGGGAATTTGGCACCTGCAGGAACGAAAAAGGTCAGGGCAGCTCTGACCTGTCGTGACTGCTCCACCAGGTGAGCACCATGAGGAATGACAGATAAGGAAACTGAGGCTTGGGAGAGGACGTGACCTGCCCCAGGCTGCACGCCCCGTGCCACGAAGCCCCTGCCCACCTTGCCGGGCTGTGTACTCATTGTCTTCGATGAGCCGAGCCAGCCCGAAGTCGGCCACTTTGCACACCAAGTTCTCTCCCACCAGGATGTTGGCTGCACGAAGGTCCCGATGGACGTAGTTCATCCGCTCAACATATGCCATGCCAGAGGCGATCTGCAGGCAAAACCATGGGAGCCCAGCTCAGGTGCCACCCATGCCCTCCCAGGACCACAGGGCACCCAGGGCTGGAGAGCCATCCACCCCTCCCCCACCATCCCATGCTTCTTCAGGCAAGTGAGGTCAGTTCACGGTAAATGCTGTTGGCATCAAAAGCAGGAGCAGTGCTCCGCAGGAGGAGGGAGCACAGGGGCAGAGGGGAGAGAGCAAAGGGCAATGGGGAGGCCCGAGATCAGATGCAGCCAGGAAAGTGAGGTGACCATGGAAAGAGGCCCCAGCGGACCCAGACACAGACAAGTGGACAAGTGCCATGCCCTGCCTGCTGCCCAAGTCTCCTCTCTGAGCCTGTTTTCTCATCCATCCAATGGGAATAATAGCCAATCCTCGTCACTCCTGATGAAAAATGCTTGTCAAGCACTGCCTAAAGTCAGCACAAACACATGTCTGCTGAGTGACTAAATGACTATTGAGATGACAACTGAGTACATCAGTTGTACTGATGTACAGGGGACCTCGGGCCTCAGTTGTCATCTCTATAAAGGTGACCCCTGATATTAGTCAGTGACCCCTGATGCCCAGGTAAGGGCTTTCTGCTGCCCAGAACCACCGCTTAGGGTGCCTGTAAGTGGACCTGGTAAATACGTGTGGCAAGATCAGTGAGTGTGGGGGTAATCAAGGCAGGCTTCCTGGAGGGGGCACTCAAGAGGCCAGAACTGGCTGCACCAGATGGGTCTGGGTGCTTGAGGACCAAGGGTGTGGGGAGAAGGGAGGGGCTGACTAACCTGAGCAGCCATGTCCACCAGCTGAGGCAGCCGCAGGTACTTGCCCGTTTCCCCCTTGAGAAAGTCCAGCAAACTCCCTGGGCAGAGAAAGACCCAGCTCCAGTTCCTGCCCTGTCCCTCTGCCAGGATGCAGTGATTCCCAAACCTGTCCTCCCAGGTGGCTAGCCTTGCTATAACCAGCACAACAGATTTTATGTAAACTCATCTCTCAATAAAGTGCTTGTCACTCAAAAGGCAAGCAGGTTGGGAAACGACCAGATGCGCACCTCCAGGTGAACAGGTAAACTGTGTTAATGCGGACAATGGCGTCCTGCTCAGCGACAACGGGAACTAACTGCTGGGAGATGCCACAGGGACGCATCTCAGGCTGGGCACGGTGGCTCCTGCCTGCAATCCCAGCACTTTGGGAGACCAAGGCGGGAAGATCATTTAAGCCCAGGAGTTTGAGACCAGCCTGAGCTACACAGTACAAAAGATATAAACAAAAAAAAAAATTAGCTGGGCGTGGTAGGGTACACCTATAGTCCCGGCCACTTGAGAGGCTGAGATGGGAGGATCAATTGAGCCTGGGAGGTCAAGGCTGCACTGAGCTGTGATCACGCCACTGCACTCCAGCCTGGGCAACAGAGTGAGTCCTTGTATCAAAAAAATTTAAAACATTTAAAATTTAAAAAGTTAAAAAAAAAAGGATGCATCCCAGATGTAAAATATTTCATGTATGAAATTCTTGAATAAACAAAACAGATTGATAATGACAAAGTATATCAGTGGGTGCTTGGGTTTGGGGTTGGAGGGTGCTGTCTGCAAAGGGCCCAAGGAACTTTCTGGGTGATGGGGCTGTTGCTATCCCCATTATGGTGAGAGCACACAGTAAACCCACTTGTTACAACCCATTGAACTGAATACTTAAAAGGGGTATATTTTACCATATGTAAACTATACCTCCAAAAAGTAGAATTTTAAAAAATAACTAATGGGTTTAAAAATTACTGTGGCTCACACCTGTAATCCCAGCACGTTGGGAGGTCAAGGTGGGAGGATTGCTTGAGCCCAAGAGTTTGAGATCAGCCTGGGCAACATAGGGTCACATCTCTACAAAAAAATAAAAAATTAGCTGGCCCTGGTGACACACACCTGTGGTCCCAGCTACTTGGGGGCTGAGGTGGGAGGACTGCTTGAGCCTAAAAGGTTGAGGCTGAAGTGAGCTATGACAGCACCACTGTACTCCAGCCTGGGTGACAGAGCAAGATCCTGTCTCAAAAATAATAAATAAATTAAAATTAAGTCAAAATCAAGCCAGAGACTTGACCTAGATGTGGCTGAGCTTGGAGGGCTGGGGAGATCTCTTTCAGCCCCAGAACACCAAACAGCTTTATGAAACCAGCAAACTGGGGGAGACAAGATGTGCTGTCGGAAATCATTTTTAAAACTGAAAGGAGAAAGGTGACCTTCAGTTTAACCTTCCACTGACGTAAGAATTTGGTGCTACTGCATTCCACCTTTGAAGATGCCCATTCTAGATGTGAGGGGAAATGAGGTTCATCCCCCTGCCCCGTCTGGAGTGCCCTGCCCCCTGTCCTGGCTGTCCAGGCCTCACCCTTGCTCATGTACTCCGTGACAATGTAGATGGGCTCCTCCGAAACCACGGCGTACAGCTGCACCAGCTTCTCATGCCTCAGTTTCTTCATGACCTGGGCCTCCTGCAGGAAGGCCTCCGGAGACATGGTGCCAGGCTTCAGGGTTTTGATGGCCACCCTGGTGGTGCCATTCCAGGTTCCTGTTGTAGAGGGACGCAGTCTGCCTCAGTGGAACACCCCCCCTACTCCTACCACACAGGGATCCAGAATCTGCCCGCCTGGGTGCCCATGTCAGCTGTGGCCTCCACAGCCATGTGACAAACCCAGTCCAAGACTGGACCCTTTCTGAGCCTCAGTCTCCCCATCTGTAAAATGGGCACAATGGCAGGGTGCTCTTCACAGGGCTGTTTCTAGGATTAAGTGCTCAAGAACCAGTAGCTGTTGTCGGGACTATGATTACTAAGTATGTCCAGGCCAGGTGTGGTGGCTCACACCTGTAAGCCCAACACTTTGGGAGGCCAAGGCAGGTGAATCATTTGAGGTTAGGAGTTCAAGACCAGCCTGGCCAACATGGTGAAACCCCGTCTCCACTAAAAATACAAAAATTAGCTGGGCAATAGTGGTGCGTGCCTGAAATCCCAGTTACTCGGGAGGCTGAAGCAGGAGAATTGCTTGAGCCCGGGAGGCAGAGTTGCGGTGAGCCGAGATCGCACTACTGCACTCTAGCCTGGGCGACACAATAAGACTGTCTCAAAAAAAAAGAATGTCCTAAAAAGCAGCATATTAACCTGACACATAGGGGACAAGTTCCAACCCAACCACTGTCACTCCTGGGTGGTCACGTTCTCTCTGGACAGGACTTTGAAGGAGCCTCCTATGTGAGCAAATGCAATGCGCACTGGTGGAGGCTGGGGTGGGGTGGAGCTGGCCCAGGGGCTGCTGAGGCCACCAGATCAGGAGGCCACCTCGGGAGCCCACCTGCCCCAAAAAGTGAGACACTGTCCTAAGCACGAGGGCTTGGGAGCTCGGGCTGGCCAGAGCCTGACTCCCACCTCTGCCTCCTGCCAGCTGAGAGACCAGGGAGAGTCAGATCCCCTCTCTAAGCTTCAGTTATCTCATCTGGAAAATGGGGATTCTGTAGCGCCTACCTGGGAGGCTGTCTGAGGATTGAGTGAGATTTTCACCACTGGGCCAGGCCCACTGCGAGGGCTCAGTAAGTAATGTGGTTATCATTTCGCTATGATCTGATTTTCTAACTGCGCGGCCTTGGGGGAAGCCGCATCCTCGATCGGCATGTTTAATCCAGGTTCTTGTCCCAGTAGGGCTCAGGCCATCTGTGGATCTGCCTGTGGCAGTTCATGAGTCAATCTGGAGCACCCAGGGAGGAAGCGAGGCTCTTCGCAGGGCCATCACCACTCACCAAGCCAGAAATGATCTTTGTAGCCACCAGAACGGCAGGCGCTGTGCATTCGCCCAGGTTTTGCTCCACCCTCACATTGTGGCTGTGCCCACACCCTGGCTTCTCACCCCCTCCCCTCTCACCAGCTCAAAGCCCTTCCTGGACGGCCTGACCTCCAGCCTCCAGGCCTCTGTCCCGGTCATGCCTTCCACCCAGGAGGCCTCTCTGCTTCCTCCATCAGCCCTCGGAGGGCTGACAGTGGAGGCAGTGGGACTGAGTAGAGATGCGACCCAGATGAAACCACCTTGAAAACAGCACACCGTGATCCCCACCAGCGCCATGAGCTTCCAACTGCTGTCCCTCCTCCATCCTGGCCCTGAGTCCCACTGTGTGAGCAGAAAGCAGCTGGGGGAAGAGGGGCTTGGGTTTTGTCAGGGCTGTGTGGTGCTCAGCCTTTGCTGTTTCTCCAGGGTCAGACAGAAAATCACTCACATGCCCAGAACATGCCAGACCGAGGCTTCCCAGCACTCCCTCCCACAAGCTGGGCTTCTCTCTCCATGGCTAATAGCTGGTGTGTGGACATGCGCTGGGTCAGGGTCTCCACAACCTCCCATGGGTCCCACTGTCACCAGCCCCATGAACAGTTGGGAGCACTGAAGCTCTGAGTGAGGCCACAGGGGCCGGACTACCCAGCAAATCCTGGAATCAGGTGCTGTGGTTTGCACCTTCCAGGGCACAGCATGTGGGGGGGCCACATCCCAACTCGGTGCCAGCCACTGCCAGGGAGCTCCAGATTTACAACAGGACCCCATTGTCCAGCAGAGGCAGCTAAAGGCAAAGGGACCAAGGGAGCCCGGAGCTGCCACACGGGGTGGGGGTAGGATGCCTCTCCCAAGGGCAGGGGTCAGCCTTACCCATCCACACCTCGCCAAAGCAGCCCTGGCCCAGCTTGACCTCCAGCCGCAGTGACTCCCGAGGGATCTCCCAGGCATCCTTGGCCAGGCCTTGAGTCTGTGGCTTAGACGTGGGGCACACAGTGGTGAGGCGGTGGCACAGGCCGTCGGCATGTTCTGAGGAGGAGGAGGGAGGTGCAGTTAGGTGGGGCTTCCGCCCTGGGGACTCCCTATCCCTCGGTGTGTGTTGCTCGATACACCAGACGTAAGCAGATTGATTTCAGGGGATACACAGGGCGCCCTCAAAGCCAGACATCTACACAGCTGCATCCCCACACAGGCCCACGATGCTCTGTGCATCTGCTTTATGCATCAGTCATCCAGTCAGTCATTCAGCAGACAGTAGGGGGTGCCAGGGACCCTGTGGGGAGCAAGTCCAGGGAACCTGCTACCCTCAGGAACTCATAGTCCGGGAAAGAGCCCCACTTCCCTAATCACCTCCCAGGACCACAGATGTGAATGTGACTGGAGGAGAGCTGTTCTCGAAACAGCAGGAGTCCTGGGAGGCTTCCTCGAGGAAGCAGCAACTGCACTTGGATGGGCAGGAGAGTGAGGGGTTAAGTAGGGAAGAGCCCTCTAGGCAGGCCACAGCCAAAGCAAAGGTTCTGAGAAAAGAAGAGCTGCAGGACTGGAGAAGCAGAGGCCAGGGAGAGGGGAGGAAGGGTAGCACCAGCGGAGGCAGAAAGGCAGTCGGGATTAGACCGTGCAGGGGCGGCAGGAGTCTTTATCCCAAGATTCCAAGACAGCCCCTGGAGGGTTCTGATCTGAGGGAATGGGATTCAGAACGAAGCACACAGTGGTGACTTAAGGGACAGAGAGTGGTGGATGATTGGGAGGAAGTCAGGAGGCCCAGCTGAGAGGAAGAGGCGGCTGGGGGTGTGGAGTAGACCAACACCTGCACACAGAGGCCAAGCGTGCCACAGACACATGGGCCCACGGGCACCCACAGGCCCCTGACACTCGGTCAGCTCCAGACGCCCAGGTGGGTGGGTCAAAGCACGGCAGTGCCCACACCCAAGCCCTCACCCGCATGCAAGCCCCACGAGCTCCCTCTGCCGCTCTCTCGCTCTTTGTACAATTGATCTGGGCACCCCCTCCTCCTCTCCCAGCAGCCAGTTCAGACCGGTCCTGGGCTACAGAGACAAACGACACTAGCCTCTGTCCCCTCCCTTCCCGCTCTCTGGGGCTCCTCTGGGCAACCCCCTTCCCACCAGCCAGCTGCAGAAAAAGACAGGGAGTGGGATGGCGCGTGGAGCCAGGAGAGAGGGGAACAAGGAGGAGGGGACAGAGAGGAGGGGGGCAGGGTGGAGGGGGGCAGTGGGGAAAGGAGAGAAAGAGGAAAGGAGAGAAAAGGAGGAGGGAGGAAGGGAAGGGGGAGGAAAAAGTAGGGAGGGGAGCAGGAAACCAGGCCTTTTAGGCTAACAGAAGAGCGGCCTTCCAGGCTCCAAGGCCCCTCCCTGGGGTCTGCAGCTGAGGTCCTGCCTGGCCGCCCTCCCTCCGAGGCCGAGGCCGCTGCGCTCACTGGAGTAGTAGGCCACCAGCTGCTGCAGACTGTTGAACTGGGTGCGGGAGGTAATATAGAAGCCGCCGCTGTCCAGCTTGCGGATCTTGTAGTGCTTCACGTTGAGGCCCTTGGCGTTGTCGAAGTCGGACACTGAGAGGCAGTAAGCACCTGCAGGCAGGGAGAGGAGCCGTGACCACCACGCCCTCTCCCCCACAGGGCACCATTCTGTGCCTGAGTCCAGAGGGAAGGGAGGCCCAGGCAGTTGAGCCCCCAGCCCTCCCTGTCTCTCAGCAGCCCGACCCAGGGCAGCCACAGAGGTAGGACCAAGAGACCCAAGGGGTACTTGACCGGAACATCCTGCACGCCCCCTTAGCCCCGGCAAGACCTCAAATCCCAGTGCACATCTAGCTGTGGGACTTAGAGGGGTGGCCAGTCCTCTCTGGGCTCAGTTTCCCCTCTGCACAACGTGAGTGCTCCCAGGGTGGCTGGGAAGATTCAGTGCATCCACATATTAAAGGGCCTGGTACTCAGCAGGCACTCAGTAACTCTTTGCTGGGAGCCTGTGAGTGGCTCCCCGTGGCTGTGTGCCCTGGCCTAACTGCTTTCCCTCTCTGGGTGGGCCCACAGGGTCACTGTCCATGCTCCCCCCACTTTCTGAACGCAGGCCAAGGTTCAGGCGAGAGGGGGTGGTTGCAGAGGCTTTGGCCATGGTGGGCAAGAGACCACGGGCTGGGCATGGCCTGAGGCCTGCCTGAGTCAATTGGGGCCAGCTCTGGTGCCTCCCCTCTTTCCCTTGAGCCTAGAAAAGCTTTTGGCCCAAAAGTTTCCTCCCATCCAGCAGGCCTGGGTAGAACGAGAGGCCAAGAGACGCCCGAGAGGCATCAGGGAACAAGGCTGAGCCCTGGAAGTGGGGCGGAGGCTCCAGCGGCCAGGGACGGGCCTTCTCGGGAGCCTCTCCAGGAGGTATACAGGCATGGGAGAAAGACCAGCTGTCGCAGCCCATGGACCTCCCTCTCTGCAATCTTCAGGCAAAGGTTACAATCGCAGTGTACAGAAGAAATGAGGTCCAGAGAGGGACAGTGGCTAGCCTGGGGTCCCCCAGCAAGCCAGATACAGGGCTGGGGCTCAAACCCACACCTGAGGACCAAAGCCTGCCTTGGACAACTGTGACTTTCTACCGATGGCCAGGCTAGTGCATGTAGACACCACAGGCCTGAGGATGAAGCCACCCCTGGCCACATGTGCACACACGAACAGGCATGGCCGGGCACAGCAACCACAGGCTCACACAGATACACGCTCCCCAGGCCCTCAGGCACCAGACAAACCACAACAGTCCATTCCCACACGGCAACACACAGACAATTCTGCCCCACATCCACACACACACACACACACACACACCCAGATGTACACACAGCATGCACACACACAGCCCCACAACCGCTTGTAAATGCACGGCTCAGCTCGACATGGATGCTCTGCTCCCCACCTCCCGCTGAGCCCCAGGCCCACAGGAAGCAGCTCAGCTTGGTTGCCATGGTGACAGGCGCCTGCAACCCACTTTCAGAGGGGCTGGAGAGAAAGGGGCTGGTCTTCATTCTCTGGCTTGAGGGAGGGACAGGAGAGGGGCAGGGACCAGGACTGTGGTGAGGGGTAGGGCAAAGCCAGGCCCCAGCACCCAGTGTGGGCCCCAGTGACCCCGGGGAAGGAGAAGAAGGGGGGCTCATTGCAGCAGCACCTACCCTGAGAACGAGCCTGCTGTCGTGTGACACTCAGATCTCCAGACAACCTATGCTCAGCTTTCATCTGAGGATACTGAGGCCAGAGAGCTAAGCCTCATCTTTCTCTGGCCATCTGGCCATCGTGGGTTACTTGGCGTTCCTCAGAGGCACCTCCCTGACTTTGATTACCTCCTTCTGGAAGGCCCCTCTCTCCCTACTCCTCAAGCCCAACTCCTGCTCATTCTGCAACACCTAGCCCAAACCACTCACAGAAAACTCAGTGTCCACTGGCCAGCAGGAGCATGCATACCTTTCGTGGTCTCACTTTCCCGCACTAGGAATGTCCCCCTCGGGTTCTCCGCGTTGAGCAGTAGCCGCTCTGACTCCCGCCTGGTGATCTTGCCAAAATACCACCTAGGGGTGGGAAGACAGAGGATGGTGTTGGTGGTCCAGGCTTCTGCCACTCACAACACCTCTCCTCAGATACGTCTGGGGCGCTGGGCAGCCCAGGAGAGGCGCTCTGCATGGGCAGCACCCAGGACGACGGGCAGAGGCAGCCAGAGACGGTACTTACTCTTCAGCCTGGATGGAGTCGGAGGGTGCCACGTAGTTGCTGGGGATGTAGCCTGTCTGTCCCGTGCTGAGCGAGTGGGCCAGCCACCAGTCTCCCTCTCTGAGCAGGGACAAAAGGAGGAAAGAAAGGAGAAGGGAGCCATCAGCCACAAGCCCACCATCCTCCTAGGTGCTATGCTCGGGGTCTAGTGGCCGAGGGAGGCCCAGGGAGGTGGTGGGGCCAGCGTGAGTCCCCGAGGCATGCCAGGTCCAGCTGGCCTGGAGCTCCTCCCCTCCCTGGCCCAGACGCCTTTTTGCCAAAGTTGGATCAGATGGGCTTTGTCTAGGACCAGGGCAGGACTGGCCTGGGTCAGTCTGAGGCTCCAATCCATAGGGGAGGAGTCCCAGGGCAGCAAGAAATCCGCTTCCCTTCAGATGCACCAAGACATCTCAAGATGCCCAGAGCTGCCTTGGGAGGGAGGGAGGGAGCCCCGTCTCTTCGGGCAAGCAAGGTTGTAATAGAAGAGTCCTGCCTGAGAGAAAGTCAAGTGAGACCTACAAAGTCTCCCCACACCCTGAGATTAGAAGCCCGCTCCTGGGAGCTGGTGAGACCTGGGTGGAGACAAGCAGGGGCCCTGCTGGGACCCGGTGACCATCCAGGCCCCAACCCTGCCAACTAGAGCAAGGCTTGCCTCCACCCCAAATCATGGGTCACACCTAAAGGGCTCCTCGGCTGAAAACTACAGGCCCCCTCCTGCAGCCTACCCATCTGCAGGGGGAAACTGAGGCCAGGGGGGGCTGGGACTTGCCCAAAGTCACACAGTGAGCCCTGTCCAAGGGGGTGAGGTGCCCAGGGCACGTCTATGCGAAAGTGAAGAGGAGGAGGAGGGGGAGGGGTGATGGGGATGGGGTAGGAGAAGCTCCCGGCATGGTCGGGTCCCCTGGGCCTGGGCAGGAGTGGGGAGGGGCCGAAGTACCTTTGCAGCCATCTGAATGTGAACCAGGTCTGGCTGGAGCGGGGGTCCAGAGACACAGAGGAGGGAGGAGAGAGCGAGAGCCCAAGAGGAGAGAAGAGGCAGAGATGGGGGTGGTGAGAGGCGGGAGTGGCAGAAAGAGCAGGGGAGAGAGCGGGAGAGCCAGGCGGTGCTGGGGACGGGTGACAAGGGGACAGCCACAGAGGCCTCGCATCCAAAGCAACCAAAGGGACAGGGGCAGGGTCCACAAGGAGTGAGGGGAGGTCCGTGGGCAGGGAGACCTTAGAACTAGGGTCCAGCCCCCTCTCATTCCCACTGTGCAGCTGGGAAGACTGAGGGCAGAGAAGCAAAGGCCTCTCTGCTCAAGGTCACACAGCCAGGCCCGGGCTCCTGACTCCCACGTAGAAGGGGCGCCCCCTACAGGATGCAGCAGGGCTTGACAGCTTGCTGGGCTCTTCTCAATCCAAGGCCACTTTTGCACCTCAGCAGGACCCTGAGAAGACACACAGTAGGCAGGGTGGCCCCACCCAATGCCAGGGCCCAGAGAGAGAAAGACCCTTGCCTACAGTCACACAATCTGAACTTGAACCTGGATCCCTGGCTCCCAGTTCTTCTGAGCTGGCCCTGGCCATATTCTTCAGTCCATATAAAAGATAGAGGTGAGGCCAGGAGGGTGCAGGACTTGGGAGCTCTCCAAGGACCTATCAGAAGACAGGGGCGCACCTGAGACCCTGGGGCTCAGATGGATGGCTTGAAGTGAGCCAGAGGATGTGGTGTCCCCGCCTGCTGGAGTGAGGGGGGTTGTGATTGTGATGGCTGCACATGCTCAGGCGGGGAACAAGCCCACGTGGGGTCGCTGGAGGGAGGAGCCTGGAGCAACGGGGCAAGACCTGCCTCAAGGAAAAAAGCCTTTGGATGCCCCAAATCCCCACCCATTTCCTTGTTGTACACCCACCCGGGTTGTCCACACTTGTCTCTCCCACTGACCCTCCAGGCCACCCTGCAAGGGAGGAAGGCAGGGCCCAAGTCCCAGATGAAGAAACTGTGGCTTGGAGATGTCAAGGGATCAGCACAGGGGACACACAGCACCAGGCCAGAGTAGATCAGCACTTGATTGACTGATAGATTGACTGAGATGGAGTCTAGCTCTGACACCCAGGCTGGAGTGCGGTGGCACAATCTCGGCTCACTGCAACCTCTGCATCCTGGGTTCAAGTGATTCTCCTGCCTCAGCCTCCCGAGCAGATGGGATTACAGGCACACGCCACCACACCCAGCTAATTTTTGTATTTTTAGTAGAGATGGGGTTTCACTACGTTGGCCAGGCTGGTCTCGAACTCCTGACCTCAAGTGAGCCACCCACCTCAGCCTCCCAAAGTGTTGGGATTACAGGTGTGAGCCACTGCACCTGGCCAGCACTTTCTTTAGAGAGCTGGGGAAACTGAGGCACAGAGAGGTGCAGGGACTTGCCTAAAGCTACAAAGCAAGGACTCAGATCACAGAAAACAGCTCTCTAAGATCTTCCAGTTCAAAGCCTCCATTTATCAAAGGGGGAAATGAGGCACAGACAGGGCAGTGACGTGCCCAAAGCCACACAGTCAATCAATGGCAGAGCAAGAGCAAGAACCACGGCCCCTGAGTGTCCACAGCCTGGCACAGGAGACCTCCCCAGGCCCCAGAGAGGCTGAGACCTTTGGGAAAGCCAGTGGAAGATGAAAGAGGAGGCTGCAGGGCTGAGGCAGAGGACAGGCCACCGTGGGAAGGGGCCAAGGTCTAAGGCCAGATGCTAAAAACTGAGGCCACTTGACAAAGCCAGTCTGCAGGCTGGCTGGCCTCTGGGGAGTCCCCAGCACCCACTCAGAGTGGAAGGCTGGCAGGAGGCCTGTGCTCGGAGGCCAGCCAAGCAGGGCCCAGGAGTGAGAGGAGTGCAGCTGACACTACCCACACTTCAGCGAGCAGGGTTCCCAGCTCCCCAGCATCAGCCCACCTGTGAGTCTGGGGTTTCATGGTCCAGTCTGGGGCTTTCATTTCACAAGGTGCGTGGATAGAGAGGAGATGCACTCCAATCTTACTGAAGGACCCAAGCTCCAGTCTCAGCCTGGCCCCTGATTTAGAGGGGTCTGAGGGCGTGGCTCCAGTGCTGGACAGCCCTGCACACCGTCCCAGCTCACCACTTACTGGCTGCGTGACTTGGCCCCTCCACACCACTCTCACCGTCCCAGTGTCCTCATCTGCAGGGTTAGCCATGCCTCCCTCCCAGGACATAAAAGGCCAGAACAGGCTGGGTCTGGGGCTCGTGTCTGTAATCCCAACACTTTTGGAGGCTGAGGTGGTCAGATGACTTGAGGCCGGGAGTTCAAGAGATCGAGACCATCCTGGTCAACAAGGTGAAACCCCGTCTCTACTAAAAATACAAAAATTAGCTGGGCATGGTGGTGGGTGCCTGTAATCCCAGCTACTCAGGAGGCTGAGGCAGGAGAATTGCTTAAACCCAGAAGGCGGAGGTTGCAGCGAGCCAAGATCGTGCCATTGCACTCCAGTCTGGGTAACAACAGCGAAACTCCGTCTCAAAAAAAAAAAAAAAAAAATACAAAAATTAGCAGGGCGTGGTGGTACACAACTGTAATCTCAGCTACTTGGGAAGCTGAGGCAGAAGAATCTCTTGAACCTAGGAGGCAGAGATTGCAGTGAGCCAAGATCGCACCACTGCACTCCAGCCTGGGCCACAGAGCAAGACTCAGTCTCGAAAAAAAAAAAAAAAAAAGGCCCAATCAGGGCCCAGCACAACATGCATCACCTATTAGATCTTGATTTAGCTAAAAAATGAAAACAACTAAATCTGTATTTTCACAGTGTCCCTTCCTACTTTTCAAAAAGTTTTTAAAAACCAAAGCAGCACAGTCCCAGTCTCCAACAAGGATGTGCTGTGTGACCTCGGGCAAGTACCCTGTCCTCTCTGGGTCTTAGTTTCCTCATCTGTAGAAAGGAGACAACATTCACAGAATCTGCCTTGCAGACAAAGTGTGTAAACAGTGAGTGTCAAGCTGGGCTCAGAGTAAACTGAGATAATGACCGTGATGATCCTCTGAGCCTCAGTTTGCCGACCTGTGAAATTGAGGTACCAATCCCATCTTCCCATGTCAAGGGCTGGGAGGCTCAAACCTGCCTCCGGTGGCTGTGGTCATCAGTCACAGCAGCATCAAGCCATCAGGTTGAGGAGTTCTGCTGCATCCAGCGCCTTCCCAGGGGCCTGGTCCTCATCAGGCGGGCAGCAAGCAGGGAAGGAAGTCCCATATTCCCTGCCCGACCCCTTGCCTCCCACTAGTGGCAAGAAGAGGAAGTGCTGGGCCAAGAGTCCCAGAGCTGCGATTTTTCACAACTGCTGGTCACCAGCTGTGTGACCTTAAGCAACTGACCTCACCTCTCTGAGCCTCAGGATCCTCTTTTGGGACCCTAATCCTTGTGTCCAGCCAGGGTGGTGTGTGGCTCAGGGGCACAGCAGCTTTGGAACCTGGGATGTGTGCCAGCGTGGACACTAACATTAGCCTTGGGCTGTTGGGACTGGTTGGGAGAGCTCTCTGGGGACATCCACTGAGCTGGTGCACCACGGCTGAGGCTGGCCAGGCGGGCAGTGGCCAGGAGGTCAAGTTTCCAAGGCCCCAGGCCTGGGGCACACAGTCTGTGGGGTGAGGAAGGAGTGAGGCGGGGTGAAACCAGGGCAGGTCTCTGGAGTAGGGCATGACAGCAGGGCCCCAAGGTTCTGGACTCCCAACGTGCCCCCTGCTGCCATGCCCAGGGTAAAGAGGCAGAGGCCAGCTGAGGCACTGTTGCCAAGAAGCACCTGCCAGAAAATTCCCAAAAGAAGCTTCTGGAATTTAGGTGGGAGGAAGAGGCAGTTTAGTGGGCAACTGAACCCAGAGGGGCCCTGACTCCTAGAGACTCAGATGTCAGGTCAGGGAGCTTGAGGCTGGCAGTCAGACCTCAGCCCCCAGAAGGCTTCCCCATGTGCAGGGCCACACAATACCCAGAATACCAGGACTCAGGGCCAGGTGGCACCAAGATCCCTGGCGTGGGGTCCCTGGGCCTGCTACTTCGAGGACTCCCACTTGGCCAGACCCCAACCACAGACGGGTTCCTCCTCTGGCTCTCTACACCCTGACAGCGGCCCAGCCCCACATATGCCTGGGGCTCCGTGCTAGATTCAGAAAGCCCCTCACTCTTACAGGGTGGGGGATGCGCTACACAGTAACAGGCCCTGAGCAATGAAGGTGGAAGGATGAGTGTGCAGGGTGGTCCCCAGGTGAAGGTGAGACCCGAACATGTCACCCAGGCTGGAGTGCGGTGGCACAATCATGGCTCACTGCAGCCTTGACCTCCTGGCTCAAGTAATCCTCCCACCTCAGCCTGCTGAGTAGCTGGGACCACTGGCACACGCCACACACCCATCTAATTTATTTTTATATTTCGTGCACACCAGGTCTCCCTATGTTGCCCAGGCTGATCTCAAATGCCTGGGTTCAAACTATCCTCCTGCCTCAGCCTCCCAAAGGACTGGGATTACAGGCATGAGCCGCCTTGCCCAGCCACCATCTCTAAGCAAAGGAACAGTGGAGGGTTGTGATATGGGACTCCCTATCCACCCACCACCATCTCCCAATCAGCTACCCTGGCATTTTCCCTGAATGAGATTCCATCACTTCCAGGCCTCCTGGCAGCCCCGGCCTCCCGGCCAAACCTCCCCCAGCCCACCCTCACTGGAAGGCAAGATAAGCAGAGGGAAAGAGCCTGACAAAGGCAAACAAGGAGCTGCCCTGGGACTCCAGGTGAAAAAGGCGAACCAGAGTGCTCCGAGCCCTTCCTGCCTCCACACCGATGCTCAAGCTGTGACCCCAGCCTGAGATGCTTCAAAGCCATCCTCCTGACGCCCCTCCCCGCACGGGCCTCTCCCTCCCACGCCCTCTGCTGCACCTCCACTGAGCCTTCCTGCAAGTACCATAGGTCAGAGGACCAGCCTAGCCTTCCCACTCTGCCACTACTAGCTGTGTGACCTTGCACAAGTCATTTCACCTCTCTGGGCCTCAGTTTCCTCATCTGTAAAGTGGTGCAAATAAGACTTCTCATTTCTCAGGCTATGGGAATGCATAAACAAAATAATGTGACTTCAAGCACTTGGTACAGGGCCTGGCTCACAGAGAGAGCATAAGAAACAGTGACTTTGTCCCTGCTGTTTATTGATCCTGTTCGTCACCTGCTGGGCCCCTGCCACTGTGCTGAGTTACAGGTGCTATGGGGACCCAGAAGTGAGGTGCACCAAGGGGCAGCCCTCCAGCACTCCCAGTTTATCAGGGAGGCAGATACAAACAGCTGGTGACAATAAGGAAACTGCAGCTTGGCACCAGGATTCTGCCATACAAGGTGGGAGGGGAGCTGGGAGAGCAGCTTGAGGAGGGCAGAAAGTTGCTGCTTCAGTTCCAGTCCTGGCTTTGCTACTTGGCAGCTGTGTGACCTTGGACAAGGACCTTCACATCGCTGAGCCTCAGTTTCCTCATCTGCAAAATGGAGAGAGCCCCCTCCCCAGTCACTTCAGCCCTGGCTAGACTGCAGACAGGAGTCGGTACAACGACACGGGTGGAGACGACTGGCATGGTCCCTGGCACCTCCGTTCCCTTTGGCCTCCCTGAGAAGGCAGTCCTGCACTGATCTTGAGTGATGAACAGGAGTTCCCCAGGCAGACTCCGGAGAAAGGGCATTTCAGGCAAAGGGGAGAGCATGCGCAAGGCAAGTGGGGCGTGAGCAAGCCAGACACGCTGGGGGCAGTGGAAACCCCCAACTTCCTCAGCCAGGCCTCCAAGGACACCCAGGGATCGAGTCTCCTCCGCCCTCTAGAACCTCCCTACCTTCCACACCCGTGGAGGCGTCAGCCCTCTCCAGCTGGCCCCCTCCCGAAAGCTGCCCTTCCATTACCTCCACCTGCCACACGACCTCAGGCTTTCCTTCCAGGCCCTTGACCCTCCCAGTCCCTGTGGTCACCACCAGAGGCAGGCCCACAGCAGGGGTGCCAGAAGCTGACTCCAGGCTGCCGACTCAGGGCCAGGACTGGGGCCATGGGCTGTTCCCCTGGCCACATGCTGGCTCCAGGAGGGTGTGGCCAAGGCCTTCTCCACCCAGGCCATCCCGGGCACAGCACTGGGGCCTGCATGCAGCAGACATTTGGGTGGGCTGATGGGGCAGAATGGAAGGGTGGGTGAGTAGGGAGGGGGATGGGAGGAAGTGTGCAGCAGAGCGCAATGGAGGGGCCCCTGATCACAGCCTGGGGTTACGGTCCAGGACCTGGTCACACTGGTGGTGGAGAGAGGAGAAGCTGGGAGGTGAGGAGCAGCCAGAGAGCCGGAGACCACAGGCAGGGAGAGGAAGCACATGCAGACAGCGGCCCCGCCCCCTGAGAAGCACCCACCCAGCCCGCCACCCACGGAGCACGTACACACCTGACATCCACCTTCCTCCTAAGGGCCAGCAAGAGAGAAGCAGAGAGAGGGAGAAGCTGAGAGAGGGCTGGAGAGAGCAAGCGAGAGCCAGGGATTGGGAGGAGTTTCCCGAGGCTGGGGAGACAGCAGGTGCTGCCCAGGGCAGGAGAGCAGCAGGTGCCTGGCTCCCTCCGTGCTGCCCTGGGCTCTGCACTGCGCTGCCCCGATGGCAGATTCTGCATCAGCCCCCACCAGCTTTCAGGTTCCAGCACCCAGCCCTGAGGGGCAATGGGGAAGGGGCCACTCACGTGTTGTTGACGATCTGGAGCCGCTCGCCTTTCTTGAAGGACAGGTCTGTCTCCGTCCTAGACTCATAGTCATAGAGGGCCACAAAGGTGGTCACTCCACCTGCAGAGAGGGGTGGGGTACGTCAGAACAGTGGGGCCACGGCCAGGCAAGGCGTGGACAGGAGGGTCCTGAGCCCAGGAGTGGGGGTTTGTCTCCCACACGCCACAAGTGCCCAGCCCAAAGACACGGTCGCGTTCAGTGAGGATGGACCTGTGCACGTGTCCACCGCATCCGTGTGTCTGCGAATCCCTGCAAGGCCCTGTGGGGGCATGAGAGTCCCTCCCTGTCTGCATGCACCCCAGGGGCTTTGGGCAGTGCTAGGTGCTGGCTTATCTGTTTGGTGCCTGTCTTGCTCTAGGACCAGAAGTACCCAATAGCAAGCATCTCTGTTTTGTTCCCAGAGTCAAGCACATAGTAGGTGCTCAAGAGAGAGCTGTGGGCTGGATGCAGCAGTGAATGAAGACCACTGCACCAGGGAAGCTTGCTCTCTCGCTCAAGCTTGTCACTCTGGGCACTCCTGGGTGTCCAGGAAGATTTGGCTCCTAGTAACTGCCCCCTCAAAAAGCCCCCCCATGCCTCCATTTTAAGCTACAGCCTTCACCTCCACACATCCCCCAGTCCTCCCTCCCTCCCTGCCCGTTTTGCACCTTTGCGGCAGCACCACTTCTAACACCCTGCACAGCCTGCACACCTGCCCTTTGCTTCCCTCCCCCATGTGGGTTCTGTCTGCACTGCTGGGTCCCGGGCAGCAGAGGAGACCTGGCTCGTAGTCGGGCTCCACCTAAACTTGAACAAATGAATGGTGTGTCTGTGGGTCTGTCTCACTTGGGCATGCGTCTGAGGGGTCCAGGGCTGTCAGTGTGTCTCTGCATGCCTGCATGTTCTCAATGCACATGTGTGCATCTGTCGTCTGCGCGGCCACGATGGTGATTTCCAGCTGCGCCTGTCTGTGTCCTGTGTGTGTCTCTGAATGAGCGTCTGACGGCATGTACGTCTGTCTTCCTCTAGGAGCGTGAGGTCACCTATGCATGTGAGTTTGCGTCTGGGTACGTCTGCTTTGGGTATGTATCTGCGAGTGTCTGTGACCCTGCCTCCACTCCGCACGTGTGCGTGTCCGGGGCAGGGGTGCAGACGCGTGTGAGCGTGTGGGGAGAGTGCACCGGTCTGAGTGAAGCCTGCGTGGAGTGTCTGGGCCACAGACGCGGCTCTCCAAACGGCCCTCGACGGGGGCTGCCGTGCCCGCAGACCGCCAGCAGAGGGCGCACAGGCGCATGCATCCTGGCGCGGGCCCAACCCGGGCCGCCGGCGCCCGGTTCCCCGAGCAATCCTGCGGCCCCTCCGCCGCACGCAGGTCGCACTTCCCTACTCATCTCTGGGCCTCTGGGCGGACCCGGGCAACGAAAAAGGCCTGGGCGCCAGGCAGCAGCCTCAGGCCCGGTCCCCGCGCCGCCCCCCTCTCTGGGCCTCAACGTCCCACTAAGACACCACCACCAGTCCCCGCGTCCTCTGCGCCTACTCCACCCCAAAGGCGGCGGCGGCGGCGCTGGGGAACTCGCTGTGGGCACGGCCCTCCCGGCACACCCAGGTCACCCAGGGGCGAGCCTCCTGGCGGGAAGAAGGGCCCGCACAGAGGGGGCGATCCCGGGCACGCCGCCCCGCCGCCGCCGCCGCCGCCCCGCTGTGGCCCAGCAGGGCGAGGACCCTGCGCCGCCCGCGCACTGACCGGCCAGCGGGCCCGCCCTCTGCGGGGAGGTGACGGTGTCCGAGGAGTTGAAGCCTCCGAACAGCTTGGGCTCGGCGGCCGCGGGGGCGAAGGCCGCGCTGGGACCGCGGTGGCCGTCGGCCGAGGCTGGCTTGCTGGGGGTCTGCGAAGCGGGGAAAGCGCCCCCGCCGGCTCCGTGCGCGTTCTCGGAGGGCTCCAGGCTGCGGCGCCGCTGGCTGGCATCCTTGGGCTTGCTCTTGTTGCTGCCCATGGTCCTGGCTGGAGAGAGAGGGGACCCTGGAGTGGAGGAGACGCTAGGACAGGCAGGGCTGCCGGGACCCCTTGGCCGGCCTCCCTCCCACCCAATCCACAGCTGGGGAAAACGAGGCCCAAAGAGGGGCACCAGGGCCAGGCGCGGTGGCTCACGCCTGTAATCCCAGCACTTTGGGAGGCCGAGGTGGGCAGATTACTTGAGGTCTAGAGTTCAAGACCAGCCTGGCCAACATGCAGAAACCTTGTCTCTACTAAAAATACAAAAACTAGCCGGGCATGGTGGCACGAACCTGTAGTCCCAGCTACTCAGGAGGCTGAGGCAGGAGAATTGCTTGAACCTGGGACGGAGGCTGCAGTGAGCCAAGATCCTCCCAGTGCACTCCAGCTTGGGCAACAGAGCAAGACTCCGTCAAGAAAGAAAAGAAAAGAGAAAAGGGAAGAAAGGAAGATAAAAAGAAAAAGAAAAAAAAGGCGGTGGGCACCAGCCTCTTTGGATGAGTTGGCCTCTCAGAACCTCAGTATCTTCATCTGTAAAATGAGCTTAAGGATGGCATCCATCCATAAAGGGCTTCCTCCATCCAGGGCCAGGAACGGAAGAAATGCCTCATAATCAGAAGCCCTGACCTTACCCACCCACCTCTCCCTGAGTCACTGTTTCCCTTTCTCCTGGTCAGGGACAGTATCTGACCCACACCTGTGTCCCAGGCACCTAGCACATGGAGGGGGCTCACTGAGGATTCGTTGAATAAATATGTGTCCGACGCTGAGGAAAGGTGCTAAAAGTGGCCATATAGCGGCAGGTTTGAAGGAGAGATGGCTGGAAGATCACTGCAGCCACAAGACTTTCGCACATGTGGTTCCCACTGCCCAAATGCTCTTCCCTGGCCACTTCACCAGGGTAACTGGTGCCTCCTTCCATTCTCTACTCAGAAGTCGCCTCCTTGGGCAGTGTTCCCCAAGTCCTTTCACCGGGTCCCCTGACCTGTCTCTCCTTGGGAACATGTGGTCCAGTTTGGTTTTCGTTGTTTAATTCATGTGGTTATGTGATGCCTGTCATGGGCTCTTGTTCAGCTTGTTCACTGCTGTGCTCCCAGTGCCTAGCATGGGGTGTGGCACACAGTAGGGGCTCAGTAAACAGCTGAATGAATGAATGACTATTTAAGAGATAAGAGATTCATAGCCAGAAATCTGGGAGGTCCAGAGAACAGGAAACACAGAGTAAACCATGTTGAAAAGCCCCTGACGGCCACGGTCCTGCCTCCCAATTCCCCATCCACAAGCCCTGGCTGGTCCCAGCTCCCACCCAGATTGGCTGGGGTCTCCCCACCCATTTTGAGCCCTGATGGGGCCATCACCTCACCTGGTAGAAGGCAGGGGCTGTCCCAGAGGACCTGGGAGACAGCCTGGGGTCTTGGCACAAACACCAGGTGTGGAGTTAGCGGTCTCAAACTAGAGGGTCTGCTCCACCTCTCTCCGCTGTGTGTGTCCCTAGGCAAGTGGCTGCCCCTCTCTGGGCCTCAGCATCCTCATCTGCAAAACAGGGATAAAGCAGACATCTCAGTGCTGTTTTGAGGATGTCACTGGAAGGAGAAATCATAATGGTGCCCACTCTGTGATCACTGCCATCAGGCTGTGGCTCTGGCAGGCCCAGTGCTAAGAGCATCCCAGACCTGAAATATCCTTCACCCCTCCCAAAGCATTTTCAGCCCTCTCAAAGCAAGAGCGAGGCAGGGTATGGCATGGTGGTGAGCGTGGGCTCTGAAGCTGGGCTATCCACATTCAGATCCTGGCTCCACCCCCAAACAACTGTGTGACCTTAGGCTCGTGACCTAACTTCTCTCCGTGCCCTGCTTCCCCATCTGTAGCAATGGGGTCATTGTGGTAAATGCATGAGGTCCCCTAGGGTGCTAGAGCCTTGAAGGTCACCCTGCGCCTCAGCTGTTATTGATACTGTGTGATTCTGGACGCACCAGGGAGGCGGGTTCACATGATTCTCTGGGGAGGCAAAAGGCCTAGGAATTGGTCCAGAATTTCCTCTGAGAACCCATGAGTGGGGAAAACACCCCCTGACAGGCTGGTTCCTTGGGCAAGGCTGTTTGCACTGAGTGCCTGGCCCAGCTATGAGACGACCCCTGCCCAGCTATGAGAGGCCCTCTGCCCAGCTATGAGACGGCCCCCCTGCCCAGCTATGAGACGGCCCCCCCTGCCCAGCTATGAGACGGCCCCCCCCTGCCCAGCTATGAGATGCCCTCTGCCCAGCTATGAGACAGCCCCTGCCTGTGTGAACTTCAGCCTGTCCCTGCGCTTTTGGGGCCTGAAGCTGCCCAGCTGCACAATGGGAGTACAGCTTGCATGCTCCCTGGGGACCACCCAGCTCAGAGAATGTGGGGTTGGGGAGATCCTGGGGAGACCTGCCCAACAGCCCAGGAGATTACCATGGTCTCCTGAGGAACAAGTCAATGGACCTTGGGACAAGGAGAGCCAGTTTCCATGGCAACCTATTCCATTGAGGTCACGGTGCCCATCAGCACGCACCCAGCTGGCATCCCACAGGACCTGCTGACCTGGTTACCTGCAGCCTGAGGCTTGATGGGGGCCCAACCAGCCCGCCCCCTAGCCACTTGCTTTCTAGTGCAGCATTTATAGCACCTACTAACAGGCCCTGTGCTCTTCACTCTAGGGGATATAGAGACGAATCAGCCAGGTCCTGCCTCAGGACCCCAAAGCAGGTGACTTGTTTATGAGACTTTGAGAGGAAGCAAATTAAAAAAAAAAAAAAAATTTAACCTAGGAAGAACTATCTATGAGCCTGAACTTTCTTTAGAATACAGTAAATGTTGAGAAGTGAGCTCCCTGTCACTGGAGGTAATCGAAGACTGGGGAATAGGTAGTTGGCTGATGTGCCATGAAAGGAGACAGAAAGCCAGAGCTAGACTTTAAGGGCCCTTACAGTATCAGGGATACATGTTCCCTCTTGGAAGGGACAAGAAGAAAAGACACAGCCCCGGCCCCTAAGCTCTTACACAAACATGAAGACCATCCTCACTGGGGCACTCAGAAAAAACATAACAGGGACCTTTAAGACCAAGCTCAGGGGACGTGAGCCACCAAGTGCAGTGTTTGTTGGTTTGTGAGACTGTTTTTTTGGTCTTGGTGGTTGATCCTGGTGTTTGTGGAGAGGCAGCCAGGTCGAGGTTAAGAGCCAGAGTGTGAATCCTGGCCTGCCGCCCTTCGCCTCCGTTTTCCTCTCTGTCAATTGGGAATAACAACACCCATGTCACAGGGATGCTGGGAGAATCCCTGAGAAAAGTACATGGAACATGCTCAGGACAGCGCGGAGCTGTTGCCAGGCCTCCATAAATGGTAACTTTATCATTCAGAGTAAACTCTTTGGGAATTACAGGAAGACAAGAAGAAAATAAAGGCCAGACACAGTAGCTCACACCTGTAATCCCAGCACTTTGGGAGGCCAAGGCGGGCGGATCACAAGGTCAAGAGATCAAGACCAGCCTGACCAACATGGTGAAACCCTGTCTCTACTAAAAATACAAAAATTAGCCAGGTTTGGTGACGCGTGCATGTAGTCTCAGCTACTCGGGAGGCTGGGGCAGGAGAATCGCTTAAACCTGGGACACAGAGGTTACGGTGAGCCAAGATTGCGCCACTGCGCTCCAGCCCGGCCACAGAGCAAGACTCCACCTCAAAAATAAAATAAAATAAAAATGCCAATAATTCTGCCCCTAGAAGACAACCACCTGGGTGTGCTGATGCGTTTCCTTCCAGCATCTCAGCAGCACGTGACTATCAGCAAGCTGGGATCCACCCACTGCTCTCAACTGTGCACTCCCTGCTGGCAGGGCCAGCGGGACCCATCTCCACGCCCCCAGAGGCCAAGATGGGCCTGACACCCACCAGGTGCTCTGGAAATATTTGCAGAATAGACAAAAGACTACATGAGCATGGATGTATAATTTGCATCCTGCATTGTTCCTGCAATGCCACACTGAAAAGACTCAACATCATCCCATGGTGTTCAAATACTCCCAGAGCTCAGACCATGAATTGGACCTTGCTCTAAGCACTTTGCAAACATTGACTCATTGGCTCCTCATGATAATCTAAGAGGTAAATACTGATTATGTCTTTATCTTACTGTTGAGGAAATTGAGACAGAGAGGTTGAAGAACTTGCCTGAGGTCACACAGCATGGGTGAGAGTGAAAAGGGGCCAGGGAACCACACTGGGCAGGCAGGAATCAAGAGCTGCTCAAGGGCTCTGGCGGGGGGGGGGGATTTCACAGGCCCCACCTCCTACCCCCAGGGCCTCTCTCTCAGAAAGCAGGCAGATGGCCTTGGCAGAGGGGTGAGTGGATAAAGCAGCCCACCCTGCTCCAAGAGAAAGCCTGAGAAAGCTCTGGGCAGAACACGCTTGAGCAAGGATGGCCCGCTGAGGGTCATGTGGGTAGCATTGTGGCCTCCACTTTCCAGATGAGGAAACAGGTCGTCAAGATGCCCAGAGGAGATTCTACACTGCCACCTCCTCCTTCCACTTAACAGTGCGTTAGTGTGATCGGAGCATCTTCTCAGGCCACTCTGATCGCTTGTTCTTTTTCTTTTTTTTCCTTTCTTTCTTTTTTCCTTTTTTTTTTTTTTTTTTTCTTTTTTTTTGAGACAGTCTCGCTCTGTCACCCAGGCTAGAGTGCAATGGTGCGCTCTTGGCTCACTGTAACCTCCGCCTCCTGGGTTCAAGTGATTCTCCTGCCTCAGCCTCCCAAGTAGTTGGGATTACAGGCACCCGCTACCACACCCGGCTAATCTTTTTTATATTTTTAGTAGAGACGGGGTTTCACCATATTGGCCAGAATGGTCTCGAAAGCTGCACTGCTGTCCACACAATAACTCAGTGAGGATGGGAGTTAGTCTCAGGGGCTACTTCCATGCTGTGGGACCCCAGGAGAGACCGCTCTCCTCCCTGATGCAGAGCCCTATCCTGGGGCTTCCTGGTTCTGGGGCCCAACCGCCAAGTCACCATGAGTTGCTCCTTGGAGAGGGGCTGACCCCCCCGCATCTCTTCCGCCACTTGCAGCCTCCAACGTAGAGATAAATCCTTGTGGGCATCAAGGGGAAGCAGTGGGGTCCCTCACTGGGGCTGCCTGAGGTTCCCAGGGAAAGACAGCCCCTTTCCTTTGGGAAGCCACTCCTCACCTCAGGCTCCGGACTCCCCAGCAGACAGGGGCCTGCGCTATGGCTCACCCCTCAAGGGTGCCAGGTAGCTGCCATAAGAACTTTGCCCTCAGTGCTCCCAAGGCCTTGAGCTCAGCAGGTCCCCAGGTGGCCTAGCCCTTCCCGCTAAGCCTGCATCCCACCCCACCCCCACCCCCATCACTGACAGTGCCACCACTCACGTCCCACCCCAGTCATTCCCCAGGTATTCACAGAGACCTGCCATTGCCAAGTCCTGTGCGGGCTCTGCCCATGGGGGGCCCTGGGGCAACTCCTGAGGCTTCCTCCAGTGCTTCCCTCCCAGCCACCCAGTCTATCTGCAGCCCTACATGCCAGGGCCCTGCGGTCCTGGGCCCAGACACAGCAGTGTGGGCCCCTCCAGTCCACCCTCCCGCCACAGCAGGAGGCGCCTCTGTAAACCTCACAGTCAACCGGACCTCTCCGGCTTCAAACTCTCCATGGAAAGCCAGGCGCCATGACTCAGACCTGTAATCCCAGCCCTTTGGGAGGCCGAGGCAGCCAGATCACCTGAGGTTGGGAGTTTGAGACCAGCCTGACCAACATGGTGAAACCCCATCTCTACGAAAAATACAAAATTAGCCCATTGTGGTGGTGCATGCCTGTAATCCCAGCTACTCAGGAGACTGAGGCAGGAGAATCACTTGAACCTGGGAGGTGGAGGTGGGCCAAGATCGCACCATTGCACTCCAGCCTGGGAAACAAGAGCGAAATTCCATCTCGAAAACAAAAATTTCTCCACAGAAAGTCACTAACAGCCTATGTGCTCCTCAGAGAGGGTGGTTAAATAAAGGTGGACAGCAGTGCAGCCATTACAAACACTCAGAGCCTGGGTGGCCAGAGGAGAGCCTCCCAGCACACTGCTACATGAAAAGAATCTCCTCTGGGCAGATCGGGCCTCAGTTTCCACCTCTGGAAAATGGGGACAATGCTTAGGGTTGTGAGCAATCAGACATGATAATGCGAACGGGCTTAGCGTGGTGCCTGGCCCGTAGCCAACATGAGCTTCTATTATCTCTGTAAAGAAAACCGAGCCTCAGCAAGATAGTGAGACCCTGTCTCTATAAAACATTAAAAATTAGCCTGTAGTCTTAGCTACTTGGGAGGCTGAGGTGGGAGGATCACTTGAGCCCTGGAGTTTGAGGCTGCAGTGAGCTATCATCATGTCACTGCACTCCAGACCGGGTGACAGAATGAGACCCTGTCTCAAAGAAAAAACAAAGAAAGAAAATTGCACACACACATGCACTCTGCCTGGGCGACAGAGCAAGACCCTGTCTCAAAAAAAAAAAAAAACTAAAAGAATAGAATTGGATTGTCTGTAACACAAAGAAATGATAGATGCTTGAGGCGACAGATACCCCATTTACCCTGATGTGATTATTATACAATGTATGCCTCTATCAAGATATGTCATGTACCCCATAAATACATACACCTACTACGTACCCATAAAATTAAAAATTTAAAAAAAGCTTAAAGAAAGCTCTGGAAGGATTCCAAATTCATCACAATGCTTCATCTCAAAAGTGTGGGATGGGGAGAGGAAAATCCCTTTTTCACTTTACACCCTGTATCATCTGACATTTAGAAATGACTTTGTCATGATTTTCTAAAATGAGAATTTTCTAAAAATTTTCAAGTGCTTCCCATCATTACCTTGTGGATGAGGCCTAAAGCTGTCACCTGGGTCCAGCCAGCCCTGCAGTTGGTGTTGCTGCTATCTCCTATGGTGTGTCCCTTCCTCCCTCGGCCTGTCCCATCCTCCCACAGCATGTCCTTTCCTCCCACAGCGTGTCCCATCCTCCCACAGCCTGTCCCCTTCTCCCATGGCATGTCCCATCCTCCCACATCGTGTCCCATCCTCCCATGGCCTGTCCCTTCCTCCCACGGTGTGGGTGTGTCCCATCCTCCCACAGTGTGCCCCATCCTCCCACGGCATGCCCCATCCTCCTCCCACAGCATGTCCCAGCCTCCCACAGTGATCTGCCCGACCACAGGGCATCACACACTCTCTCTCACCTTCCGGCTCACAGATGCTCAGAACACACTGCTGTTCAGCCACTACACACCAGCCCCTTCCTTCCTGATTCAGCAGAACATCATGTCTACCTCTTCCAAAGGCAGAGAGCAGGCCAGGAGCTTAAGAGTTGAGAGTGAGAACTCCAGTGAAACCTGGGTTCGATTCCTGGCTGCACATCTTACCAGCTAAATTTCCTGTGCAAGTCACTTTGCCTGTCAGTTTCCTCCCCTTTAAAATGGGGATAGAAACCGAACAACTGAAAAGTACGAGTGAGAGTCCGTGTGGCAGGAAAAGAGTAAGTGTGCAATCAATAGCACACAATGTTTACTGCTGTGATTATCATTCCAGGGAATAAGAGGAGGCAGTGGCAGGGCCTTGAATGCCAAGCAGAAAGCTGGGCACTTTACACACAGTTCGTTCTTTTTTTTTTTTTCAGACGGAGTCTGACTCTGTTGCCAGGCTGGAGTGCAGTAGCACAATCCTGCTCACTGCATCGCTGCAACCTCCGAGTCCTAGGTTTGAGTGATTCTCCTGTCTCAGCCTCCCGAGTAGCTGGGACTACAGGTGTGTGCCACCTCGCCCAGCTAATTTTTGCGTTTTTAGTAGAGACGGGGTTTCACCATGTTTGCCAGGATGGTCTCAATCTCTTGACCTCATGATCTGGCCGCCTTGGCCTCCCAAACTGTTGGGATTACAGGCATGAGCCACTGCGCCCGGTGGCTCATAATTGTCCCAGTAGCAGAGTGAAGCAGGCACTGTAACTGCACCCACTTTACAGGTGGAATCAGGGTTCAGAGAAACTAAAACCTTGCCTAAGGCCACACAGCAAGTGAGTGCAGCAAAGCTGGATGCTCACGGTTCAGGAGAGAGGTGTCAGAACCTACCTCTGGTGCCCTGCCCGCCATGCCAATGACTCCACGGCCCAAAGCAACACAGGGTCAGAGAGCAACCTATGACCTCATCACCTACATCTTGGAGCCTCCACGGAAGCAGAAGCATCACAGAGTAGTCAAAAAATACAAGTGGGGCCTGGCACGATGGCTCATGCCTTTAATTCCAACACTCTGGGGGGCCAAGGAGGGTGGACCACCTGAGGTCAGGAGTTAGAGACTAGCCTGGCCAACATGGTGAAACCCCCGTCTCTACTAAAAGTACAAAATTACCTGCGTGTGGTGGCACATGCCTGTAATCCCAGCTACTTGATAGGCTGAGGTAGGAGAATCGCTTGAACCAGGGAGGTGGAGGTTGCAGTGAGCTGAGATCAAGCCATTGCACTCCAGCCTGGGCAACAAGAGCAAAACTCCATCTCAAAAGAAAAAAAAAAAAAACTACAGGTAGCCTGAGGCCAAAATGCCAGGTTCAAAGGCCAGCTTGCAACTCCTAGCCATGCAGCCTCGGGAAATGGAAATTGGTGTGATTGTTCCTACATAATTTGGGGCTCATTGTGAGGAAACCATGAAGTCATATTTGTAAAGTGCCTGACACATAGAATGTGTTCAATATCTAATTAGCTATTACAATGATTTCTGTGGAAGACCTGGCACAGACACTTGCCCTCTTTTCTTTTTTTTTTCAGTACAATGACGCAATCTTGGCTCACCACAACCTCTGCCTCCCAGGTTCAAGCATTTCTTCTGCCTTAACCTCCTGAGTAGCTGGAATTACAGGCATGCACCACCATGCCTGGCTAATTTTGTATTTTTCATAGAGACGGGGTTTCTCCATGTGGGTCAGGCTGGTCTCAAACTCCCGACCTCAGGTGATCCGGCTGCCTTGGTCTCCCAAAGTGCTCGGATTACAGGAGTGAGCCACCATGCCCAGCCAACACTTGCCCTCTTTTTTGTTTTTTTTTTTTTGAGACGGAGTTTCGCTGTTGTTACCCAGACTGGAGTGCAATGGCACGATCTCGGCTCACCGCAACCTCCGCTTCCTGGGTTCAAGCAATTCTCCTGCCTCAGCCTCCCGAGTAGCTGGGACTACAGGCACGCGCCACCATGCCCAGCTAATTTTTGTATTTTTAGTAGAGACGGGGTTTCAACTTGTTGATCAGGATGGTCTCGATCTCTTGACCTCGTGATCCACCAGCCTCGGCCTCCCAAAGTGCTGGGATTACAGGCGTGAGCCACTGTGCCCGGCCACTTGCCCTCTTTTGCAGTCACTCTCATAATTAGGCAAAAGCCTCCAAAATGCCTATTATGTGTGCCATGCCCTGTGTATGGTCCTGGGGGTGCTGCCTGGTGGAGCTGATTAGGAGCCAAGGCTTACAAAAGCCACTTTCCAGGGAAAGAGCACAGAAAAGACAAGCATGCCAATGTGGATTGAATGTGCGTACCCTGTGTGTCGAAGCCCTAGTCCCCAGTGTGTTGGTGTCTAGAGGTGGGCCTTGGGAGGTGATTACATTTAGATGAGAAATAAAGATGGAGTCCTCACAATGGGATTAGTGCCCCTCACAAAAGAAGAGGAGACCAGAGCCCTGTCTCTGTGCCATGTGAAGAGGCATTAAGAAGGTAGCCGTCTGCAAACCAGGAAGAGTCCTCATTAGACATGGAATCTACTGGCACCTTGATATTGGACTCTCCAGCCTTCAGAGCTGTGAGAAATCAATGTTTATGGTTTAAGCTGCCCAGTCTATGGTATTTTGTTATAGCTGCCTGGATGAACTAAGATACATGTCTACCAGCTAACCCCACTTTAAGATACTTACCAATACAATTAGCTTAGAAAAAGAGGGCTGGGTGTGGTGGCTCACACCTGTAATCTTGGCACTTTGGGAGGCTGCAGCAGACAGATTGCTAAAGCCCAGAAGTTTCAGACCATCCTGTGCAATATGGTGAAACACCGTCTCTACAAAAAAACACAAAAATTTGGCCAGGCGTGTTGGCTCACACATGTAATCCCAATACCTTGTGAGGTGGAGGCAGGAGGATTGCTTGAGCCTAAGGAGTTTGAGACTAACCTAGGCAACATGGTAAAACCTCGTTTTTACAAAAAAATACACAAAAACATAGCCAGGCATGGTGGCATGCACCTGTGGTCCCAGCTACTCGGGAGGCTGAAATGGGAGGATCCCTTGAGGGAGATGGAGCCTGCAGTGAGCCATCATCGCACCACTGCACTACAGCCTGAGCAACACAGTGAGACTCTGTCTGAAAAAAAGAAAAAGGAAAGAGGCTGGGCACAGTGGCTCACACCTATAATCCCAGGACTTTGGAAGGCCAAGGCAGGCAGATCACCTGAGGTCAGAAGTTGGAGATCAGCCTGGCCAACATGGTGAAACCCTGTCTCTACTGAAAATACAAAAATTATCTGGGCATGGTGACGTATGCCTGTAGTCCCAGGTACTCGAGAGGCCAAGGCTGGAGAATCACTTGAACCCAGGAGGCAGAGGTTGCAGTGAGTGGAGATCACGGCACTGTACTCCAGCTTGGAGTACAGAGCAAGACTCTGTCTCAAAAAAAAAAAAAAAAAAGGAAAGAATAGAAAAAGAAATTGAATAATAAAATGGAATTAGAAAAGAGAAGGTAAGAGTATTATTACTGGCCAGGCACAGTGGCTCACACCTGCAATCCCAGAACTTTGGGAGGCAGAGGCAGGTGGATCACCTGAGATCAGGAGTTCGAGATCAGCCTGGCCAACATGGAGAAACCCCGCCTCTACTAAAAATATGAAACTTAGCCAGGTGTAGTGACACATGCCTGTAATCCTACCTACTCTGGAGGCTGAGACAGGAGAATCACTTGAACCAGGGAAGCAAAGGTTGCAGTGAGCAGAGATCACACCACTGCACTCCAGCCTGAGTGACAGAGAGAGACTCTCTCTCAAAAAAAAAAAAGAATATTATTATTATTTGCAGATGGTACAGGTATAGGTCTGGGAAATCCAAGAGAATCCACTGCAAAACTATTAAACCAAAAGCAAATTAAGTAAAGTGGCAGGGAATTAAGTCAACATTTCCAAATCAATTGTGTATATCAATTGTATATACATGTATATTAATTGCAGTTAGAAAATAAAATGAAAGAAACCTTAGCATTATAAAAATATCAATTATTCATAAATCAGTCTAAAAGTTCAATGTGACCAATAAAAAAACCAACAAGATTTGTTTTAACTAGGCAAGTCAATTTTTAAATCTCTAAGTAAAAACATATGAATAAGAGTAGCCAGATAACACCTAAAAAGAAGAGTAATGAGAGAGAAAGAGCCCAACCAGATAGTAAACCTTATTATAAAGACACAGTAATTAAAACTGTGTGCTAGCCGGGTGCAGTGTCTCACCCTTGTAATCTGAGCATTTGGGGAGGCCAAGGTGGGCGGATCACCTGAGGTCGAGAGTTCAAGACCAGCCTGACCAACATGGAGAAACCCCATCTCTACTAAAAATACAAAATTAGCCGGGTGTGGTGGCGCATGCCTGTAATCCCAGCTACTCGGGAGGCTGAGGCAGGAGAATCCCTTGAGCCCAGGACGCAGAGGTTGCACTTAGCCGAGATTGCACCATTGCACTCCAGCCTGGGCAACAAGAGTGAAACTCCATCTCAAAAAAAAAAAAAAAAAAAAAAACCTGTGCTGTTGGCACATCAGTAAATCAGGGGAACAGAACAGAGAGTCCAAAAGTTGTCCTGAAACATAAGGGAATTTAATATATAATGAAGATGGCATTTTAGTGAGAAAAAGGTGGATGATTTTTAAGATGGAATTAGAACCAACAGTCGCCATCAGAAAACAAACAAAGCTGATCTCAATCTCACAATATATGCCGATCAGTGGCAATCAATCAGATTTAAACCACAAAACACTGAAAACAGAACGCTCTAAAAACGGGAAGAGCTGGGCAAGGTGGCTCACACCTGGAATCCCAACATTCTGAGAGGCAGGAGAATCGCTTGAGCCCAGGAGTTTGAGACCAGCCTGAACACCACGGTGAAACCCCATACCTAAAAACATATATACGTTTTAAACATGGTTGCCCAGGATGGCCTGAAACTCCTGGGCTCCGTCCACCTCAGCCTCCCAAAGTGCTGGGATTACAGGTGTCAGCCACCACACCCTGCCCTCTTTTTCTAAGCTAATATATATGTACGTATAACAAAAATTTTGGTATCTCCAAATGGGGAAAGCATTCCTAAACCTGACATAAAACCTAGAAATCATTTGTTAAATGATAAATCAATCTACCTAAAAATATAGAATGACTGTGTAGCTCAATAAACATCATAAACAAGTTCAAAGGACCAACAACAAACTAAGAAAAATAACTGCGACTCACATGATAGATAAGGGTGCTCTTTTTTCTTAGCATGTATATAATAAGCTCCCATAAAATAAGAAAAATGAGGCCAGGTGTGGTGGCTCAAGCCTGTAATCCCAGCACTTTGGGAGGCCGAGGTGGGTGGATCACGAGGTCAAGAGATCGAGACCATCCTGGTCAACAAGGTGAAACCCCATCTCTACTAAAAATACAAAAATTAGCTGGCCATGGTGGCGTGCGCCTGTAATCCCAGCTACTCAGGAGGCTGAGGCAGGAGAATTGCCTGAACCCAGGAGGCGGAGGTTGTAGTGAGCCGAGATCACGCCATTGCACTCCAGCCTGGGTAACAAGAGCAAAACTCCGTCTCAAAAAAAAAAAAAAGAAAGAAAAGAAAAATGACAACAGATAGTTTACAGAAAAAGCAAACAAATGGCTCCTAAACATAAGACAAGATGCTCAAACTCACGCATAAGATAAACGCAAATGCAAACCATACAAGCCACCCAACAACAGCAGAATACACGTTCTTCTCAAGTGTGCATGGAATGTTCTCCAGGATCGACCATATGCTGCACCATAAAACAAGCCTCAATAAATTTAAAATGAGTGAAATCATACAAAGTATGTTTCCAACCACAATAGAATGAAATAAGAAATCAATAACGGAAAGAAATTTGGAAAATTAAAATATGTGAAAACTAAACAACACGCTCCTCTATAACCAGTGAGTCAAAGAATAAATCACCGAAAAGCTTAGAAAATACTTTGAGATGAATGAAAATAAAGACACAACATATCCAAATGTATGGATGTGGCAAAAGAGAACTTAAAGGGAAATTTATAGCTGTAAAGTCCTATATTTAAACAGTCCAGATGTGATGTCTCACGCCTAGTAATCCCAGCACTTTGGGAGGCTGGGGCCGGTGGATCATTTGAGCTCAGGAGTTCGAGACTAGCTTGAGCAACACGGTGAAACCCGGTCTTTAAAAAATGCAAAATAAAAATCATCAGGCGTAGTGGCACATGCAGGTAGTCCCAGCTACTCCGGAGACTGAGGCAGGAGGATTGCTTGAGCCCCAGAGTTCAGGGCTGCATGAGCCATGACCATGCCACTTACACTACAGCCTGGGCAACAGAGTGAGACCCTATCTCAAAAACTAAAAATAGGCCGGGCACAGTGGCTCATGTCTACAATTACAACATTTTGGGAGGCCGAAGTGGGTGGATTACCTGAGGTAAGGAGTTCAAGACCAGCCTGGCCAACACAGTAAAACCCCGATTCTACAAAAAATACAAAAATTAGCCAGGTGTGGGGGTGGGTGCCTATAGTCTCAGCTACTTGGGAGGCTAAGGCAGGAGAATCACTTGAACCCAGGAGGCAGAGGTTGCAGTGAGCTGAGATTGCACCACTGCACTTCAGCCTGGTGACAAAGCAAGACTTCGTCTCAAAAAAAAAAAGCAATAGAAGGAAACCTCCTTACCCGGATGAAGAGTAGCAATTAAAACCCCACAGCTAGGTCAGGTGTGGTGACTCACTCCTGTAATCCTAGCATTTTGGAAGGCCAAGGCGATAGAGCACCTGAAGTCAGGAGTTAGAGACCAGCCTCACCAACATGGTGAAATCTCATCTCCACTAAAAAATACAAAATTAGCCAGGCATGGTGGCAGGTGCCTGTAATCCCAGCTACCTGAGGCTGAAGCAAGAGAATCACTTGAACCTGGGAGGCAAAGGTTACAATGAGCCAAGATCGCACCACTGCACTCCAGCCTGGGCAACAGAGTAAGACTCTGTCTCAAAAAAAAAAAAAGAAAAGAAAAGAAAAAGAAAACGCCACAGCTAACATCCTACTTAATGGTAAAAAACTGCATGCCATTCCCCTAAGATCAGAAATGACAAGAATATCCACTCTCACCACTTCTACTCAAGATTGTACTAGAGCTTCTAGCCAGGACGATTAGGAAGAAAAATGAAACATAAGGCATCCAGATTAGAAAAAGTAAAACTATCTTTATTTGCAGATAATATGATCTTATGTATAGAAAATCCTAAGAATTCCACCAAAAAAAATTAGAACTAATAAATGAGTTCAGCAAGGCTGCAAAGTACAAAATCAATATACAAAAATCCATTGTATTTCTATAGTCTGGCAATGAAGAATCTAAAAATGAAATTAAGAAAGAAATTTATGATAGCATCAAAAGAATACTTAGGAATAAGACTAATAAAACAAATACAAAACTTATACTCTGAAAACTACAAAAAACGTTGAAAGAAATGGAAAGACATCCCATGTTCATGGATCAGAAGCCTAAATATTATTAAGATGGCAATACTCCCAAATTGGCCTGCTCCCTATCAAAATCCCAGCTAGTTTCTTTGCTAAAATTGACAAACTGATCTTAAATAAAATTAAAGTGGAAAGTCATGGGACCCATAATAGCCAAAACAGTCTTGAAGAAAAACAAAGTTTGAGGACTCACACTTTTCAATTTCAAAACTGTAAAACTACCGTAAAAAAGACACTGTGGTACTGGCATAAGTGTAGACTTATAAATCAGTGGAGGGGAATTAAGGGTCCAAAAAAAACACTCACATTGACAGTCAATTGATTTTATACAAGGCTGCCAAGACAATTCAAGGGAGAAAGAATTTTCATTTCAACAAATGGCGCAGGAACAATTGGATACCCACATACAAAAGAAGGAAGCTGGACACCTTCCTTAAAGCCTGCATAAAAATCAACTCAACTGGATCACAAACCTAAATGTAAGAGGTAAAAGTAAAAAAACTCTCATAAGAAAACATAGGCACAAATTTTATAACCTTGGATTATGATTTCTCTTTTTGTTTGTTTGGTTGTTGTTTTTTGTTTTGTTTTCTTTGTTTTGAGAGGGAGTCTCACTTTGCCGCCCAGACTGGAGTGCAATGGTGCAATCTCAGCTCACTGCAACCTCTGTCTCCCAGGTTCAAGTGATTGTCCTGCCTCAGCCTCCCGAGTAGGTACCCACCACCATGCCCAGCTAATTTTTGTATTTTTCGTAGAGATGGGGTTTCACCAAGTTGGCCAGGCTGGTCTCAAACTCCTGACCTCAGGTGATCCACCCGCCTTGGCCTCTCAAAATGCTGGAATTACAGGCGTGAGCCACCGCGCCCGGCTATGACTTCTTAAATACAACACCTGGAGCACCAGCAACAAAAGGAAAACTAAACTGCACTTCATCGCAATTAAAACACTTTTGTTTTCCAAAGAACAACATCAAGAAAATAAAACGACAACTCGCAGAATGGGAGAAAATATTTACAAATCATACATCTGGCAAGGGACCTGTCTGTATCTACAATATATAAAAGTCTCTTACAGTGGCTCATGCATGTCATCTCAGTGCTTTGGAAGCCAAAACAGGAAGATCTCTTGAGGCCAGGAGCTCAAGAACAGCATGGGAAACATAGTGAGACCCCTACTAAAAAATTTTTTAAATTAGCCAGGCGTGGTGTTGCATGACTGTAGTCCCAGCTACTCGGGAGGCTGAGATGGGAGGATTGCTTGAGCCCAGGAATTTGAGGTTACAGTGAGCTATGATCACAAGATTGCATTCCAGCCTGGATGGCAGAGCGAGATCCTATCTCTACGAAATTTAATAAAAGAAAAAAAGAAATCAAGCCAGGCACAGTGGAGCGTGCCTATAGTCCTAGCTACTTGGGAGGCTGAGGCAAAAGGATCATTTGAGGCCAGGACTTCTAGACTAGCCTGGGCAACATAGTGAGACCCTATCTCTAAGAAAAAAAATTAAATTAAATTAATTAATAATAAAAATAGGCAAAGAACTTGAATAGACATTCCTCCAAAGAAGATACACAAATGCCCAATAAGCACATGAAAAGATGCTTAATGTCATTAATAATTAGAGAAATAAAAATCAAAACTGCCAAGTAAGGTGGCACACGCCTGTAATCCCAGCACTTTGGGAGGCCAGGGTAAGAGAATCACTCGAGCCCAGGAGTTCGAGACCAGCCTAGGCAACATGGTAAGACACCATCTCTACAAATTTAAAAAATAAAAATTAGCCAGGCATGGTGGCTCACACTTGTGGTCCCAGCTGCTTGGGAGGCTGAGATGGGAGGATGCTTACAGCTCAAGAACTCGAGGCTGCAGTGAGCTTCAACAAAAGAGTGACACCCTGTCTTAAAAAAAAAAATCAAAACCACAATGAGATGCCACTTCACAGACACTAGGATGGATGGCTAGAATCTAAAAGACAAATGTTGGCAAGAATGTGGGGAAACTGGAAGCCTCATACGCTGCTGATGGGAATGTAAAATGGTGCAGCTGCTTTGCAAAACAGTCTGGCAGTTCCTCAAAAAGTTAAACATGGAATTGCCATATGATCTAGCAATTCTACTCCTAGGTACACACTCAATAGAAATGAAAAACATATGTCTACCCAAAATCTTGAGCATGAATGTCCAGAACAGCATTACTCATAATAGCCAGAAAGCCCAAATGTCCATCAACTGATGAATGGATAAATAAAATATGGTATATCCATATGATAGAATATTATTTGGCAAGAAAAAAAGAGTAAAATCTTGATCTATGCTGCAACATGAATGAATCTTTTATACATGAATGAAAACATTATACTAAGCGAAAGAAGCCAGCCATAAAGAGTACCCGTTGTATGACTCCATTTATATTAAATGTCCAGAATAGGCAAATCTATAGAAACAGAAACTAGATTAGTTACTGCCTGGGCCTAGGGAGGGAAGTTTAGGAGGAAGTGGGGGGGTGACTGTCATGGGTAGAGTTTCTTTCTGGGGTAATGAAAATGTTCTAAATTTGACTGTGGTGATGATTGTACAACTCTGTGACTCTACTAAAAACCACTGAATTATTTACTTGAAACAGATGAATTGTATGATTTGTGAATTTTATCTCAGTAAAGCTGTGATATACATTCTTCAAATAAACTAGGCTGGGGGCCACCGTTCACCTATCAGATTGACAGACTGATACCTATGAAATTTATCCCCAAATTTTGTAACATCCTGTGCTGGTAAGAGTGAGAACAGAGGGTGTGGTGACACCAGTGACACCAAAGGACAATCTGGCAATACCCATCACAACTACAACTGCACACAGCCGCTGACCCTGCAATGTGGAATTAATCCTAAAGGAATCCTCGCACACCAACACAGGGCACGTGATTAAGGACATTCACTTGTGGAATTGTCTACAGCAAGCAAAAGACTGGAAACAAACAAAAATATTCTTCCTGAATTAAATGAAGTTTGACCACCATACATACAGTGGAATATTAAGCAACCATGAAAAAGTGCAGCATAAATAAATGATCTCTGAGGTACACTGCCAAGAGCAAAAAGTTGCTTGAGGACAGGACAGACTGTGCTATCATTTATCTAAAAAAAAAAAAAAAAAAAAAAAAAAAAAAAAATTCTGGCCAAGCGTGGTGGCTCATACCTGTAATCCCAGTACTTTGGGAGGCCAAGACAGGAGGATTGCTTGAGCCCAGGCATTTGAGACGAGCCTAGGCAACATAGTAAGACTCTGTTTCTAGAAAAAAAATAAATAATTAGCGGGTGCGTGTGCCTGCAGTCCCAGCTGCTCAGGACACTGAGGTGGGAAGAGCAACAGAGCCCAGGAGTTGAGTTCGAGGCGGCAGTCAGCCATGGTTGTGCCACCAGACTACAGCCTGGGCAAAAAGTGAGACCCTGTCTAAGAAACAGAAATTCTTTCTTTGCAAATATATAATATTGAGTCACGTGCAGAAACTAAAAATATCAACACCTGGCATTCCCATTATTATTGAAATTCACATTATGCTAAAAAAAATTGTTAATATACATACATATATATGCCTGGATCTCCTGGAAAGATACACCAGAAATTCTTTCAAGTGGTTGCCTCTGGCAAGGAGACCTGGGTGTGACAGACACTTATGTTTCCCTGTCCCTTGCATGCATGCATGCCTCTGTGTGTGTGTGTGTGTGTGTGTGTGTGTGTGTGTGTGTGTGTGTTGATGTTTCATCTTTCCTTTTTAAGAAGAAACACAGGCTTACCTGGTTTCAAATCCTGGCTCTGTCTCTCATCGCTGGGCAAGTTGCTTCACTTCTCTGAGCCTCTGTCTTCGTTCTGTAAAGGGAGGGATAACAGGATTAAGATCTACCTTGCAAGGTTGGTGTGGAAGATGAAATCAGACCGGGCAGGCTCAGGGCCTCCCCTTGGGCCTGGCTCCTAGTAAGTGTGCGCCCCCTGTTTGCCATTCACCTGTTACTATGGACATCACAGTGCACTGGAACAGGGAGCACCTTAGAGCCAATGTTCCAAGGCCTCAGAGCCAGCATTCCGAGGCCCAGCATCCCCTCTGGCTGGGAGAAACTGAGAAAAGCTTCCTGGGGGAGGCAGCATTTTCGAAGGGCTTTGAGGACAAGAAGGATTTCTGGAAGGAGAGATGAATGAGGGCCACATTCTTGGCAAAGGGAGCCCCAAGAGTAAAAGGCCGTGAGTGGGGAAGCCCTTTGAGGACAAGAAGGATTTCTGGAAGGAGAGATGAATGGGGGCCACATTCTTGGCAAAGGGAGCCCCAAGAGTAAAAGGCCGTGAGTGGGGAAGCCCTGGGGTCCCTCAGTGGTGTGCTCCTGGGCTCCTTCATCAAGGCTTAGCTGAGCACCTGCTGCGCCCCAGTGTAGTGGGAAAGATAGTCAAAAGCCAGGTGGTTGGGCCGGCCGAGGGAGGAACTACATGCAGAAAGTCTTGTGACAGGGACAATGAGGGGCCAGCTCCATGTGCTCCTAGAGCGGGTCGGGAAATGGAGGCTCAGAAAGGGAGAGGGGCCGTCCAAGATCACACAGCAGGTTCCCAATTTCCGAACACAGCCTCTCAGCTCCACCCTCTCACCGTCCCCTAGGCCTGGAGAAGAGAAAGTCCAGAGGCACCCCCCGCCATGCCCTCATCAGGGGGTGGACACAGAGGCCAAATAATCAGGGGCCCCACAAGGAGGAGGGATGGTTGGTCCTCAGAGGACAACAGCAGCTGTGGCATCACCATCACGGTGCTCTGAGTGGCGGGCACATGCTTAGGAGTTCATTGAACCTCCCCAGCCCTCAATGAACCACCCCAGTGAACCCAGTGGCAGCCTCTGTCATGATGGCATCCTCTCAGAAGAGCCCAGGGTGGGAGCTGTTCTCAGCCAGTCCAAGATTGCCTCCTGATAACAGTACCCCAGTGGGGGAGAGGTGAGAGGCAGGCAGGGAAGAGCAGTGGTGGGTGAAGTGTGGGGTCTGTGCAGAGATGGAGGGTGAAGGCGGTGGGCAGGGGCTTGATCCATTGGCAGCCATCCTTTCCCTGATGGGAGAACAGAAGGGCTCCCCAGGCACCTGCCCAAGCCAAGTGGGGACATCGTGGTTAAGGGGCCCCAGCTGCCACCACAGGAGAATGTTGGACACACACTGACTGAAGTTTTCTTCAGCACCACGGAGATGCCCATAGTCACCCTCAGGTAGTTGCAAAGGCTAACGAGTGAATCCACGCAAAGCTCTGGGTACACACGTGGGCCATGCCCCATGAACGGGGGTCCTTGCTGTGCCCCTAACATTAGCATCCTCACTGGTACTGCTCGGTCCTCTGTTCTCACCAAGACCTTGCTACACAGCCACAATCTGCCCCTTTCCAGATGGGGGCACAGAGAGGGGCTCAGAGAAGCCAAGTCAGGTGCCTGGCCCCCATCCAAGACAGCAGAGGGCCAGCTGATGCCCCAGGCCACTGTGGGCACTTCTCCCCAAGGCCACTGGCCCAACTGGAAACTTACCTCAGGGACTGAGCAGAACCCCATGGCCAGCCCATTTTCCAAAAGGGGAGATGGAGACCCAGACTGGGACAGTGGCTGGCCCAAGGCCACAGAGCAGGCTAGGAATAGGGCAGGGAGCAGCCACCAAGGCCAAGCAACTACAAAAATTCTGGGTGTCAGGGGCCCCACCAGCACTGGCCGCATCCAGAGAGGGCAAGGCTGAGGCTGGGAGAAGCATGAGAGGGTACAACCTGCCCATTTCACAGATGGGCACTGCCTCACTCCAGGCCCAACACCCTCTTCCTGCCCCTCACACTGGAGTGGAAACTTCCCATGCGCAGGGATGTTCCCCTGCCTCTCTTTTTCTTTCCCGCTATCAAAAGAATGACCTGCTGACCCATAGTGCTTTTCTACATGTGTAAATGCAGAAAGGCAGGGCTTCACAGCAAGGGATATGCACACTGACAGCAGCGGCTGATATTCATCTAGAACCTGCCATGCGCCACTCTTACACCCCATTGCACAGATGAGGAAACCGAAGCACACGCTGGTTAAATGGTGTGCCTGAGATCCTGATTCTCAGCAGCCGAGCGACAACCCCTAACCCTCTGCACGTCTTCCCAACTGGGACAGCCATCCAGAGCCCCTGGGAACGGGCTCCTCTCGGCAGAATCCAATGTCACCAGCTGCTCTGGTCCAGGCCAGGGGTGGAATGAGGGGTGCTCATGGGGGTGCAGAAACCCACGTTCTTCCCCCTCAGCTTTTCCCTCTCCATCCTCCAGCCTGGGGTTCACACTCCCCTCCATTGCTCCCAGCAGCCCTGCAGCAAGCTGTGGCCGCACTCATTTTACACATGAGGCCACGGGGGCTCCAGGAGGCTGCCCCAGCCAGGAGGCAGACAGCCAGGATGCCAACCAGATCTGAGGGACACCAGAGCCTGTCCTCCCTGACCTCCCTCGTGAGCAGCACAGCAAGGGTGGCCCAGAAGAGAGCCCTGGGTTCGAGGCCCAGGCGGGCCAGGGTACCAGGTGGGCAGGCAGTGGTCCAGAGCGAGGTCTGGACAGAGTGGGTCCCGGTTTAACCAGGTCACTGCGGGCCCTTGGCCTAAGCATGAGAGGGCCCAGGGGAGACCCCAAGAGGGATCTGTTCAGCAACAAAAACCACGAAGGCCTGAAAACTGAGAGCAGAGCCAGGAAGCTTTCCTCCGGCCCCTGGGAGCCGGAGGTCAGAGCACAGTGGCCCCCTCCCACTGTGTCTTATCAGGGACAGTCATCTCCAGCTCCAAAGGGCCAGAGAGGAAAGAGGAGACACCCCAAAGTCTAGGCAGTCTGTGAAGAGAGGGTGGGGAGTGTGATCCAGGCAGGTGGGAAAGCTTTGATAGGGCCTGCAGCTGGGACCGCTTAGAGAAACGCAAGGGAGCTGTGTCAGTTTCAGTCCTTCAGCCTCATTTCCTCAGCAACAAAATAGGGGAAAGACAGGCACATGGGGTGGCTCCCTCTTCCCCGTACCCACTTCCCACCATCTCTCCCTCCTCCAAGCCCCCATGCCCAGGACTCAGGTCACTGAGAAGGCGACAGCGTCTAGGGACTGGTGAGCTGGAGGGGTTAGGAGGCTTCACAGAACCTCTACCCCACTCCATGTACCAACCCAGGGTCTATGACCAGGCAGCCCCATAATGGGGTGAATACGGCAGCTCACAAGGCCAGGAGGTCGCAGCCCCAACCCCAGGGAGCCTTTGTGGGCCCTTCTTCTTGGCAGAGGAGGAGGCTAAGGCTCAAAGAGGGGGCTCCCAGCCCTTGGTCACACAGCAAGGCCAAGGCCTGCCCTGGAATAAGGATGTGGGCTGGGGGCAATGGCACTGAAGATAAGATTCTCAGGGCACCAGGCCCAAGAGCACTGAGCTGAGGAGAAACTGGAAGAGGAGACAAAGCCTTGGAGCCTGGCCTGCTGAGGGCCAGCCACCATGTGGCTGCATGGAACACTTCCATCAGAATCACTGTGCGGTGGGAGTAGGGGCTTGCACCTGTAATCCCAGTGACTCGGGAGGCTGAGATCAGAGCATCGCTTGAGGCCAAGAGTTTGAGACCAGCCTGGACAACAAAGCGAGACCTCATCTCTACAAAAAATAGAAAAAATGTAACAAGGCATGGTGGTAACCGAGAGTTCCAGCTACTTGGGAAGCCGAGGTGGGAGGATTGCTTGTACCCAGGAGGTAGAGGCTGCAGTAAGCTATGATTACACCACTGCACTCCAGCCTGGGCAACAGAGTGAGACCCTGTCTCAAAAAGACAAAAACAAAAAAGAAAAGTTAACCTGGGCTTTGGCACCTCTACCCGCACACAGAGACCCTCAGCAGCTCCCCCGCCCTGCTCAGTGTCAGGAGACGACCACAGGGAACACTGAAGTGACAAGTGTTCCTCTCTCCCAGCCTTAGGTCATCTCTCCGAGAACCCCCAGCTGCCCACATCGATGGCTGATGGCTAATGTGCCTTGTGGAGATGGCCGCCAGCCGGTCCCTGCCCACGGCACCCACTGTTCCCTGCCAGCTGCTCTGAGAACACACAGTGCCCCCTCCTCCCCACCCACACCCAGGCAGCATCTCCCTCCAGGGACACTGGTGGGCAGGAGCGCCCAGTGGCCAGGCCCCTTCACAGGGCCCAGCCTGAGCTCCAAACCGACCCACCGCCTTCAAGCCTGCAGGTGGCCTACCCCTGGCTGTGTGGCCACAGGAAGGTCAGCCTCCCTTTATTCATCCATGAAATGGGGTCTCTGGCAGGTCTCAAAGGGAGGAGAGAGCATCCGAGACTAAGGCAGGGGATGGTGGTTGTAAGAGGATTAAAGACACTCAATACTCCAGGCTGCTGCCCGCAGGACCAAGACCAAATTCGGACGGAGAGGGGCTTGCCACAGCTCCCTCTCCCTATCCCTTGACCCCCCCTTAAACTCGTAACTACACTCTCCCCTTCAAACCCTAGCACATGCTGTTCCCTCCCCTTTCCCTGACCCACCATGGACTTGACCACAGGCAGTACCTGCACTTGCCACCCACCCCAAGCTGAGAGAGGGACCCCCGCCCTTTTCTGGGCTCACATAGCCTCCACCACATAGGGATTAAGAGCTGGACTGCCAGGATTCAAAACCCAACTCTGGCCCTTCCTTGCTGTGTGACCTTGGGAAAGTTGCTCCACCTCTCTGTGGCTTCATTTCCTCTCCTATAGTGATAAACATCACCTACTTCAAAGGATGTGGATTAAATGAGGATTAAATAAGTTAGTGTCTGTGAAGCACACTGAGGAGTGTGCCCTAAGTGTTGACTATCAGTCTAAATAGGAGGAGCAGCTATTCT